ATAACTACTTTAATTGAAAACCCGATCACATAGGAATGAATTTCAAGTTTAAAGACAGGATTTTCAATCTAATTTTAGTCAATTTCAATTTAGCCGGTATCAGTTTCAGCAGTACGTGCAATGATTCTGTGGCTACAAACTATCAGTTAATGACGGGGTGAAATAACGCATCTTTGAAAAGAGAAAATCGTATGATTCTGATTACTATGTTCACGTTTGACATAGCACAACAGTCGTGTATCTATGACACGTAATATAGTGATGGTCCGTTTTAATTGTTAAAGCTTTCTGCAATATTCAATTTAATTGCAGTAGACGACTATAGAAATATTAGAGCCTTCAGTTGGTGCAAATGGTATCTTCTCCCTTTCGATGAATCAGTCATCATTTTTGCATATTGGAATTATTGTTTTTAATTCACTTTTAAGAAATAGCACCGGAAATATTCAGGATGTGAAGAAAGAGAAAGGAGGGAAACTATCGAAATTCTTTTTTAATGTTTCGCATAAAATGAGACAGGGAAAAATAACATTATGTGCTGCGGTACTGTGATATACGTTGCAGTTTTTTTCTTATTTGCGTGTTTTGATTTCTGTTTCGAAAAGCATTGTTTGAAACAGCTGCGCTTCGAACTCATTGGTTGGTGTGTAATTTTATGATTTATTTGTGTACTCGTTACACCACTGTCAGGGATTTTCTGTGGCTCTGTGCAGGCTATTATTACGATACAGAGCTTAATATTTTTGTGTATCTAAATGTGTATCTAAATATCTTTTTATATATCTTTTTGTGTATCTGTATCTAAACAGATAAGACGAAAGTGGTGATAGGAAAATATGGAAAAAGAAGGTAATTTAATAGTTTAAAGCTTTTAGGTTGTGTACAAGACCGAAATTTTTTGCAGATTGTTGTGGGTTGAATGATGTTATACGAGTGGAAACGACACAAGAAAAGGTTCAATCGGCATTGGAGGAATATTGCAGAACACAGAAGCAATTACAAGTCTGTTTTTAATTGCTGGAGGAAAAAAGAAAAGGAAGGAATTTTATAAGGTATTGTCTAGTTATTTTTTGTAATTTTCAATCGATTTTAGGTCGGACGATTCGGTCGTTTGTTGTTACGATTGCCGAGTTTAAGATCGATCAGCGCATCTGTAATTGAACAGTTATTTTTCGTGAAATTAGTTGGAGAAACACCGATCGAATTTCTACTCAGGGATATGCTTAGAACACAAAATGAGAATGTTATCAAACCATTTGTTTGGCCTTGTCAGCTTCGTTCATGATCTTTCTTACGCCAGATAATTATAAAGAGTTCCTGCTTGTTAGGTTTTGTTTACTTTTCTGGCATATAATTGGACTTTACAGTAAAAATATTTTGTAGAGATGAGAGAAGTGTTTATAAATCTAATGAAGTTTCAGTACTGCTTAATTTTCTGTAAATTCAGATCAATGTCTTTCAGACTATGACGGGTACGGGTACAGTTATTTTTCCTTCTGGTTGTAAATTCTTCGACGAAAATAAGAATATTCCGTCATAATCAAATGTTAGATCGTTTAAAGATTCTCAATGCCGGAGATACCTAAGCCACTATTCTTATTAACTTTTGATTGAAAAATTGGAGTTAACATATTGCAGATTTCTTCCACATAATAGCTTAATTATAAAATATACTAAAGGACACTTTTTTAAAAGAGGATGATAAGCAGTTAGAAATATCTCAGTTTAAAAAATTGAAAGGATTAAAACTCAACTTTTTAGTTCATTTATTTTCTGTAAAAAGTAAAATGTATGCATTAATAGATTTATTAAGATTAATTAGGTATTCACTCAAGCGATCAAAAGCAGTGTTGTTCTTTTATATGCGTGCAGCTTTTATATTCAAGCAATTGTTCAAAGTTTCTGTGTCAAATTTGTTTTCCTAACTCATTTGTATAAAATTTTTTTGAATTCCAAATTGTGTTTTGTTTGTCTATTTTACTTTTTTTTTCTTTGGTTTACTTACATTTCCATGTGAATTTATTTTCTTTTTTCCGCATATTTCTCATTTACTCCTCATTTTCACTCTTTTTGTGTTTCCTGTAGTCCCACAAAAATTTCGCTTATTTCTTTCTTGGTCCATATTTGTCATTTTTTCTGTTTATATTTCAATATAGCCAAAGTTTGCTCTATACGATATCAGACCGGTTTTTTTCTTCCGTTTATGTTTAATGGTAATTTTGCTTTGGAATGTGCAATATTTTTTAAGCTACTCTTGTACATTTTATGTGGATACTTAGGTTATGGAAATGGTTATTATTTGTCTATCGTCATATATACTATTGAGAAGGGAGGAAAGCGAAAAAAGGAAATTAATTTTATTTGGTGACATATGTACCATAGATTGTTTAAACCTACCTTAGTATTTGCGAATCCACTAGTCTTTGATCATGTTTTCAGTTCCACTTTTATTATTTGTCGTGCCTGGTCCGATATGCGTTGTTTTGGTTCATATAATTTTTTCTAGTTTATGTTTGACTTGAGTTACCCGGCTAATCGCTTTCTAATAAAAAAGTCATTGAAAAGACAAAGTTTGAACTTTAAGCATGCAAGGGAGGCTTGATGCTCATTGTCTTCTCCTCGTATTGTTTGTAATATTTATGTTGAATATGTCTTTTTAATTGTTTGTTTAGAAATAGTAAAGGTTGTAAAGTCATTACATTTCTGAGATCGAAAACTGAAACCATGAAGCATGCAAAGGATTGATGAAGTCTCTCTCAGTTTGTATGGGAGAGGGCGAAGTGCAGTAGAACGAATAGTAAGAAAGGTTCCTAATTACCAAGGATGTTTGAAGGGCAGGGTAAACAGATAATATTTTTCCTGTAAGATGGGTGGGTATCTATTATAGATATTACTAATTTCATTCATAGAAGTGAAGTAGACTGGGATGGGTGAAGCGATGTAGAAAGGAATGAAAGTTTCCCATTTGACGGAATTCTGAGAGCAAGTTAATTTTGATTGAGTTCCTGAGAAATGTATATGATATGATATAATTTGATATAGAGTTGAGAATAACTAGCGATAGTTGTTACAATAGAGAATATATTTTTAACTCAGTAATTCTTGATAATTCACGTAATAACCTAAGGCACGTGTCTGTAAACACTTACGCTTAATCTGGTTCTTCCAAGGTTCGAAACAGTAAAGAAATGGGAGTAGACCGTGTTCGCTTAATTTATTTTTCTCAAGATTTCCAAGAAGGTATGGGAAATTGGAAGTCTTTCTACGGAAATCGATACAGCAAGCGTTGCAACTTATCATACGTGTCAACCTGACATGTCCATTCATTGTTTGACTTCGTCAGAATAGAAAAAGAATGGAATAGAAAGCAGAACAGGAATAGAATAAGAAAGTGAGCCCAGTCTGTAAGTTGAATCGATTTATGACGATTTTTATGTGATGATCATGCGTGATACTCTCATTTCATCCCATTTCATTCCGCTGCTCTAACTTTGCATTACGTGACATCACGTGACCTCTCAGTGTTTTTGGTACCCTAAATAAAGTTTCACCTTAGCATGAGATTAGTTAGTATGGAATACTTTGATTGCTGAGTAACTTGACTTAACTGAGCGGTATCGGTCTTCTGTCTCTCTCTTTCTCTCATTTCATTTGAATTCTTGCTGCTATTGTTATTAAACATCCATTGCGTCATATCCGCTTCTATTACTTAATCTCTCTCAACATTAGTACCATTAACAAGGAATACCAATTCAGTCATGTTTTGTTTCATTTCACTTACAACTTTTTATTTGAAATTAAAAAAAAAAACATTCGTGCATCGTTACTTATAATCATCACTTGAGATACATCAAGCATTACTGATTTGTGTCGTACAATGGAGAATGTCTTCTAAGGGTATCTATATCTAACCATTCAAAATACATTATCGCATATAAAGAGATAATAGTTTTTTTGTATGTTTGGCTTTAATGTCTGCTTCAACCTGTATCTTTCCCTCATTTTTTAGTTTTCAACCAGTTTTGCGGCGAAATATTTGGAAAGGTGACAGTATACTATGATCTTTATTAATATTTCAAGCATAGTTTATTGATTCTTAACCTTTGAAAACTTATTTAAAATCCCGAATCTAAAGCATAAGATAACTAACTAATATTATAGGATTCACATGGTTGTGCTCTTCCTTTTTATTCGTTAAATCGATATGCCCTTTGGACACTGTTGTCATAAAAAATGATATGACAAAGCAGCGAACAATGCTTCAAAATTTAGGCAGCAAATCAATTGGAGAAGAGATCTGAACACTTCAAATTTTACAAGATAGTGAAAAATTCGAAGTGGACTGTGACTCTCGTCACTTAGCTATTTCATTTGCTATCGTTTAGAAAGCAGAAGACGAAATGATATGCTTCCTGTCAAACCAGAAAGGGATTTTCTTTCATTGTTGCAGATGTTGATATCATTTTGCGCTTCATCTCAAAGTGGGTAGGCGTTATCGGATGACGAAAGCTTTTTATATTTAATAACTTGGCTATATCATCGTACAGCACAGCGTTTACTTTAATTCCTGTCCTTTTACTTCTTTTTGATATAAGTTTTCTTAATTTTTAATTCTACTACTGTATTTCTTTACCAATACCATTTGTTCTTTTCTTTTTTAATATTTTTCCTTGTGGTTTTCTGTCCAAGGTCCTAGCTTCTTTTCCGTTCTTCTCTTTCTTGTTGGGTCTATTTCGATCTTTCATAGAATTAAGTGTTAAAAAACAAATTAAATGTTAGTAATTAATTTGTTAATTAAGACAGCTATTTAGCTTGTATCTATTCCATAGAACCGCACTTTGTTTTGTTCTGCATATGCTTAAAGCAACAATAATGTTGTCTAACTCATAAGTTGTTAATTAATGCCAGTAATTTAATTTTTCATCACCATATGTGTTGCAGTGTCAATTTTCAACTTCTCCCTTTTTTGCAGTTTTTGTGGTTTCAGTTATTCAGATATAATGACAGAACGTGCTACGAAATCTGGTTTGGCGTTAGAAGCGCAGCGTAAAATACGTGAAAAATATGATAGTGAATTGGCTGGACAACTTCTTGAATGGGTTGCCCAGCTCACCGGCAAAAGTTTTTCAACCGATGGCGATGTTAAAAATTTTTTGGGGGTCTTCAAAGATGGTACGGCATTGTGCAGGTAAACTAAAAATCTCGTTCGAGATGTTTACAAGCTATCAAAAAGTTAGTCGTCTAAAAAGATTAGTATCAAAAAGTTAATCATTCACTGTTTGCATTTATTCATAAATATATAGTCAAGTTTGAGAAGTCTAAGTTGTTTCAAAAAAGAAGTGAACGGTTGCCTTAAATAATAAAAGAAAATATCGAGAATACCTTCTTTAAATAGTGAAAAACACCGGAGTACCACAATTTCATGAGAGAATTGGATTAGCGGACTTGGAAATCATTATTTTGGGAAGTTTACATGGTTTCTGGAGAACAAAATAAGAAATGTTTCAGCCTTGCAAATGCCTTACAGCCAGGTTCAGTGAAGAAGATTAACACTAGTGCAATGGCTTTCAAACAAATGGAAAATATTTCATTCTTTTTATCGTTCGCCGAGAAACATATAGCTAAGTCAGAACTTTTCCAAACAGTTGATCTATTCGAAGGTCAGGATCCAAATGCAGTTGTTGTTTGCCTTTCATCATTGGCCAGAAAATCTGAGGAACTGTTTGGAAAGCCTGGATTAGGCCCAAAGTTAAGTGAAATTTTAGTTCTAAATAAAGACAATAAAGAATAGTGAACTCTATTAAAGAGTTATAAAGAATAGATTATGTCTATTAAAGAATAGCCATAATCAGTAAAGAAATTAATTAGTGATCCTGAAAAGTAGGTAGTATTTATATCTGTAGACCATCCAAGTTCCATAATTTATATCCTTCTTTCCTCTGATAGATTGCTTATTGTTTCCGATTCATTATTACTCCATCTTTCATATACATATACTAAAGAAAGCTCTAGTGTCAATTGGCAACGGTTTACTCTCTGCACTTTCATGTTGCCTTGAATATGTGAATTGAGCCATATATATATTTACCAATTTATATTAGTTTGTCTCTTGATGATTTGACTTTAGCAAATAAGTTTGCAAGTAGATTAACTGTTTAAGAGAATTACATTCACAGAACATTAAAAAAGCATATGTTTGAAACATCATTGAAGTCCAGAACGAAAGGTAAGTACAATAAAACGTTTGGAGCATTAATACAAGCCATTTTAAGTCACGTTTTCAGAAATATTCATATATACGGTAATCAAAAATTGCAGATTTTATATAATGCAAAATGCAGGTGCAGACTCATCGCATTTAAGCACTTCTTTTTTACATGGAGTGCAATCAATGACAGTTTTAGCATACATGAAACTCAACTTGAATGTTTCATCAGCTGTATTTTCAAAAATTTCTTTTTCTATGATAGCAAAAATACAAATGCACCCACAATTTTGTGATATTTCATAAAGAGATGTGATCAAAAAAATCCTAAATGCGTTGCTAATCGATAATTCGGACTTATCCCGTTAGCTTGAATGTATTTCATAGCTGAACTTTATGGACAAGCTTTAGTGATGTGTGACTACTACAAATAAATATTATGTTAACAAAACAAAACTTTCTATAAATAATCAAATAATTTTTTCTGTGTTGATTTTGGACTACTGCGATGACAATCATTTAAGCTATTGAAGTTTTTGACTTAACATTTAAGAATTTCATACTCATTGATGTTTCTTTAGGAGGCAAAAGGGGAGAAACGTGAATGGTCGGAAGAAAAGCTTCGAGCTGGCGAAACGATTATTGGACTTCAGATGGGTTCAAACAAAGGTGCGAATGCATCCGGTATCAACATGGGTAACACACGTCATATATAAAGCTGTAAAATCCTAAAAATATTGTTTGAGCACCACCATCAGAAATTAGTGAGTAGAGAAGAGGGAAGAAGAGAACGAGAGAAAGGGAAAATTCAAATTAAAGTTTTTAAAAACTGTCTTCAGGTTGGCTGATTGAAGGGCATAGCTTAATGTTAAGAAGTGTTGTAAAGCAACGGTATTATGAAAAGAAATCTCAAAATTTATCAGCGTTTTTCTCAGACACTTCTACTCATGAAAATTAGGAAGTTAACTTACACATATCCTCGGGGCGGTATTATTTTATTATAAATTAATATGTCATTGACAGAAGACATTGCATTTTACGGGAATTCATGCTTAAATGAAGTGATCGAGTATTAATCTTCCTTTTCACTGAGTTATGCATCAAAGTGTCACCTAGTGGTCCTGGTGAAGTGCCAAAGGAGATTTGCTTAACACTGATGTAACTAACTGTTGCTGGTGCTCACATGCATGTTAACTCTAACTATGCACGTTTGTCTTTTTGTTGCATTCCGTCCTTCTGAGTATTTCACTTTAATGACGAATCTCCAGTCGAAATAAATTTTATCGTTCAAATAAACAATGTTCTGTTACGCATTGTGATTGTTACGCTGCTGTGCGCGTTATCTTATTTGGTGTTTGAAGGAATTTTCTTGAAGGAACATAAAAGGTAGTCGGGGCGAGGCAGACTAGTAGCAGAGTGCAATGCAGTGATAGCAGAAATGTAACATACTGATGGCTAGGGAAGTTTTTGTTTATCGTCTGGCAAGACAGTCCATTGATTTTTGTAGCATTTCGTTACTTTAAATAGTACAGTGCTGTTTATATCCGGAAAATATTGATTGTAAGACTGACGAGATAAATAAGTTGTATTTGGAGTAGTGCTGGGTTGGTCACGCAAGGAATTATTTCAGTCTGTGGAGCGAATAATGAATACTATCGAGGATACTTATTGCAGGTGATAGTGTTCCATGTCTTGGCTTGCAAAAGTGTCAGATATTGCTGGTCGTGCCGAAGATTTGCTTAATCAAATTGATCAAAATGCTGCTATTGTAAGATTTGTTTAGTTGTCAACTTTTTTCTTTGTAAGAGCAATAGAAAATCAACTGTCATATTATACAATTACAAGGCAAATAAACACACAGTACATTGCAGTCACTATTGACATCAATTGTAAATTATTTTAATCAATGGGGGTGCTTAGTGTTTTAGTGTTAAGCGAAAATGATCATCATATACTGAACATTACTTAAGAATAGAAATTGTTTCTTACAAGTGGCTAGGCAAAACTATGAAGTGAATGATTTCTTCCAAATTTCTACTTTATTTATTGGAGATAATATCTAAGAGATTCGTGAATTGAGAGATGTTATAATTGTAGGCATTAAGAAACACAAAGAAAGGTGCTGGTAAGTGTAATTCAACAATAGGTTTGATTGATATTGAAGAGCAGAGGACAAAGAAATTGGAAAAACCTCAGTCGGAAATTGTGGAAACAACAGCTAAGCATCACATAAGGTGTGTTTGCTTATTTGATGATCATTAAGTGTCATTAAGCTATACTTTCATTAATTATTAACGTCAGAATATCCGCTTAATAAACTCGAGAAATTTTATACGTTACAAATGGGAAATCTTTGACGAAGTTTTGAGTTCACATCAAATACAATAAGACTTTAGTCTTTTCAAGGGAATTTCTGTGATTTATCTGAATTTCGTTTGTCAACCCACCATTTGTTTTCGTCGTTATTCCAAACCGAATAAAATCCTTAATGTGGCTTTCTGGAACAGATATATCTCGAAATCGGCACGCTTTATTGCTGAGGTTTTCTAAAAAGTAAAACAGTTGAGGTCGGATAGACATTATTAGTTGTGCTTGTTCACATAGTGCAACAATTTTCTCTGTTGTATTAGTCATAATTGCTTTAATTTTGAATCATTTCACCAATTTTTATTATGAATAAACTTTCCAGAACAAACCATACATATTCGGTCTCAGGCCGAATTCGTAACAAAAAAAAAGATGATGACTTGATCGCTTATTTGAATAATTCAAATGAACCGACATCGAGCCGCTGTTCTTCCGTAGCAAGCTGTTTTTCAGCACCAAATCCTCACATTGCAAGTTAGAATTCGATATGTTTCGTCATCACTCCAAATATTTGTAATTTTTGCTTCAGCGTAATTTCTGGGAACTTACTTCTTGTGTAAAGCACGTTCTTTCCACCTTCATTTTTTTTGCTGTTCATCTCTATGTTTTTTTCTTTACAGATGATTTGAGGTGCTTCGATTTTTAGCAGTCGAGTTTTTTCTTTTCAAATATACTGCAAAGCAGTAACAAATGAAAGCATATTTAAATTTTAGATACCATTCAAACGACACCCGAACCATATATAACTGAAGAATATCTAAAGATACAACATTCAGATACTTTGAGATGTATGCATATGAAAGAAAGTCAGATAGCCGTGATGTCTGTTCGACTCCAGGTAAAATTTAACACGTATATTATTTACTATTAATTCGTATAATCTTAACGATTTCTTAGACTCATTTTCAGGAAGCAGAAGAAGCTAATATCAAAAAAGATGCCCAGATAGCGGAACTCGGGAGAGAGTTGAAGTTAATGAAGGAAGAACTAGAAGCAGGAAATGGCGACATGGTGAATGATCATTCGTCCAGTTTGAAAAAACTCCAACGTGAGCATAACAGAAAAAAAGAAGAATTCGAGAAGCGAGAGCAAGGTTATGTGAAACGTTTGGAATCAGCCAATAATGAAAATTCGGAGAACGAAAAGGAACTGCAAGAACTGAGGGCAAAAATCCTGAAAATGGAAGTGAATGAACAGAATTTGACGGAAGAGGTATGCAAATTTTGTTATTTTTTTCAATTGAGATTTGTTTGATTAATTTTGTAGTAGTTTATGACTTCATAATTTTTTACACTCAAAGAAATTGCAGATAAGACTTGCGAAGTATAATCTAGAAGCGAACAAACATGAATTTGATGAATACAAACAAAGAGCCCAAAAGATTCTGTCTGCAAAAGAAAATCTTTTAACGTCTTTGAAGGAGGTTTTATCTAAATATTTCTTCAAATAATTCGCATTTGTTTATATATTTATTGTGGCAGTGGCATTATTTATTGCAATAATGATTTCAAGCACATATGATTGGTTAAAACTTGTATACATTAGGATTATATGTTTTGCTATATCTACTGTTATTAATTTTGTATGAAATTGTTTCAGTATTACAAAACATTTGTTTATTATGAATAAAAATAGTGTTAGGTTTTGCAATCTTGTTTTAAAAGTTTTTAAATTTATTTTAATTTTAAAGGACAGAATTTGTAGAATTCTTCTACTGGATCAGATGGTGTAGTAAACAGTGTCGAACTGGAAGAATTGCGGTGTGAACTTGGTCTATTGAAAGATGATCTTCAGCAATCACAATTTGTCATCTACAATCTTAAGGGAGATATACAAGTAGTCGCAATTCTGGTTTTCATTTTAATTTCTATTTGAACTGAATCTGGAGATATAATGTAGCTGCTTAGTCCAATATATTTCGGAATACTAACCCCGGTCTTTGGTTTTTCTTAAACAATTTGATTTTTTTGAGATTTGCAGTTTGTCTTTTTCGTAAATTTCATATACTCCCAGTGCAGTGGAAACGAATACATGTTTCTCTCAGATATTTTTTCCAGGAAATGGAAAATAGACTACGTGATGAACAGCGAGCTTCTGGAGCGCAAAGAGAAAACCTTTTAAAACAGATACATCACCATTTATCACAAGCAAACCAATACAGGGAGCAGATGGAAAGAACTCAGCTAGTTGGTACTCTCCTTTGTTGAACAACTTATTTAATGAAAATCTCCTGTGCAGTACGTTTTATAGGTTGACTAATATAGTCTTTGGTTTTATTTCTTGATAGTTTATGTGTACCTTTATAATACAGCAATCAAAAATCACATTGTCTGCTTGGCTGTACAACAATCAAAATTTTCTTTTTAGGAATACGATTTTTTACAAGCGGAAATGCGTAGGCAGGAAGAAGCGGTTGAAAGAAAACTTGCTGAAAAAGATATCGAATTAGCAAAACTAATGGAGGAAAAAAAAACGAGCAAACGGTATGGAGCTGGCGAAATGGAGCAAAAAATTTCGCTTTTAAGTGAAAAGTTGATTTCGAAGCAAACAGCTATTGAAAGAATTGAAAGCGAAAAAAGAGCACTCGAATTGCGACTTGAACGTGCTGAAGTTATTTTTCTCGTGTTCTATTTCTGAATTTTAATTTGATGTCGTGTTCTAACTTTAGTCGAATGACATTAGATAGTACATATGTTTTTACCCTACATTCAATAGATTGTCAGTATTTGTAAAGTTTTTTTTTTTTAGAATTTTTTATAGTTCCATTTGAAATTTAAATTAGTTGGGCAATAGTATTTCTGTGCAAATAGAGCTCCTTTCTATTTATGTATTTATGAGATATTTTTTTGTTTTGTTAATATTGCATTGTTTCAGTATGCATGCAGAAACGTTGAGACAGCTGCGGTTAAAGCAGTTACGATTGAAATGCGTGGAAGTGGTGCCAATGCAAACATTGAAAGTTGTTCGTTATTTAAAGTTTCACATTCGGATAGCATGCTTATTCGCATTGCTAAACTTGCAATTTGCATTTTTGATCATATTGGGTAAGAATTTTATTAGTTTACTAACTTTCCAGCAGGTTTCAAAGCATTTAGAAATACATCCAACTTATTTATTTGCCATTTAATCGAAAAGTAATGTGTGTGAGTTATGTACATTGATAGTGTGGAGTGTTCCTACTAGTAGTTTAATTTATAGATTAGTTTTGGTCCTCGATTTGTACTCCTCCATATTTTAGTTGTTTTTTTCACCTTGTAAATTGTACACATGAGTATTTCTTGCTCATTGAGTTCATTTATAATACACCTGAGGTCCTTAGTTTATGAATTCATTTTAATTTATTCATAAATTTGAGCATAAACTAACCTTTCATTATTTATTTATTTTTATTATTTTCATTAGTTTTACTAAATCCAGTGAGATTTACAAATTTCTTTTCAGGTTACGTCTAGCAATATTCATGCGTAGCCCTATGTTCCGTTTCTTTTTCTTCATATACTGTTTACTGTTACACTCATGGGTATTCTTTATTCTGTTCACTTATACACCTGAAATACATCCTCTCTGATATCGTCGATATTCATGGCTCTGTTTGTCAAATTTATGCATAAATGTGAATTAATATAGCGAAAATCATTTATGTGCGTAGGCAAATTTTTATACATCTAACTAAGTTGAGACTGGCTTGCAACATGCTTTCCGTTTTCAAACTGTGCCTAAATATCAACTGTGATATGCAAATAACTTCTGTAAGAAATCTTTCTTTCCTTCTTTGAACTGTTTTGATCTCATTTTTGCATAGGTTGTCTAGACAGTTCTTTATGCTTGAAATATTTCTCTTTCATTATTCAGTAAATCATACAAATAAGTGTGACTTTTTATCTGTGGTTTTGGAAGCCATATTTTTTTGTAATTATGATATTTATCAAAATAGAGAATCTATTAATAAAATGATTGGAATGCGTAGTTTTTGGAGCAGTTGTGTTATCTGATCGTTATGTATTTTTACAACTCAAACATGGATAAATGCCACGGCAGATTTTGTGAAGATTATTGGGATTTTATTTGAAAGTCAGGTAACCAGTAGCGAGCATGGTTGGATTTTCAGATAGTTGATGCTTTCATAATTGCATTTCTTAGGCTGCGTTATTTTGAGAACCACAGATCCGATCTTCACTGTATATAAATTATAGGTGTGCAAATCAAAAACTAAGTTGGTTGCTGTGAAAATACTGTTCGCGTGTCGAATGTGTTGTTCGCATGTCGGAAAGTATAACTTCTGTGTTGCAAATTCCGCAATCTTTACGTTCAATTGCACATTATGTAAAAATAGGTGCGGAAAATGCAGATCGTGATCCGATCGTCCATTATTGGTGTAAGTTTCATGTCCTTCTGGGGATATGAACAAGAACTTTATTGCAGGAATCTTAGATTTGTAATTATTATGTTTTACTTCTGTGAAGATTTGGGTTTAATAAATGAAAAGTTTCACCATTTAGGTCTGTTTTATGCAGTACAAAGTGGGATGGATATAGGCAAGAAGTCTCCAGAAGCTCTGCAATATCTTACGTCATTACTTTCAATATTGGAAGATGTAAATTTTTTATGAAATGTTTTGCTTTCAAGTTACACGGACTTTTAAAGAGATAATTTAATAATCTAGTAGCTACAGATGAAGAAAAAATTGGGAAGAGAAGAAGCGCTCACGCAAGATTTGGTAGCCCAAGCTCACATCGAAAATTTTGCAATGAAACTGTTCGATTATGCCGACAAAAATGATCGCCAGTCGAATTTTACGAAGTAATTTTGTATAGAATTTCGTAGATTTCGATGTAACGATTTTGAAGTTTTTTCTATTTGGTTGAGAGTGGTTAGTTAAGAATCTGTTGCGAAAAGATGCAGCCTTCGTAAATCAGTACGTTAGAAAGACTCCATCTGTTTCTTCTTTTTTTTTTTTTTTTTTTCACCTCGAGAGGTTTTTTACACTTAATTTTTCATACATTTATTTTTTTTCTTTTATAAAACAAATAGATTTCTTGTGTATTTTGTAATATTTCAGTTTTGTCCATAATTTGCAGAGGTGTTATTAGGGCTTTCTATACGGCTGGGCACTTAATCGATGTCTTGTCCCTTTTTGGAGAATTGGATGAAAATCTTATTTCAACGAGAAAGTACGCTAAGTGGAAGGTTGTAGTACAGTTTTTTTTTTTTTTAATTTTACGTTTTTATCTCCACTTCACTTAATGTTCATTCAGTATATTCTCTTGGTCCGATTTCTGAGTTTTGTTGCATATATTATTAAATATTAGCTGCAGTTTCGTTCAAAATTTTATTCCAGGAAAAACTTTAATTTTCAAGTCAGGAGCATATTTCAGGCTACATATATACACAGTTGTATGAAAAATGGAGAGACTCCGAAACCTGGATCAGCTGGCAGTCATAACGATGACCTAAACGACTTTAATATGAGAATCCCTCGAAGTATGCTTTATTTTCGTTGTGATCTCTTATTTCTACCAATATTTTGAGACTCTGATGAAACTAATGTAACCTATTTTTTTTCTACCAACTTTCTAAATATTTAGTAGAATAGTCCAAATTTTCTTGAAATTAATATCTTGTAGCTGAAACGAGAGAAGAGCCTCAGTCAACTATGGATGGACCCGTTCAGCCTAACAGTGTGCTAAATCCTATCGCTTCTTCACATTTAATTTCTGACTCAGCCTCAGTGCTGGAAACTTGTGAAAACTTACACATCTCAGATGCCAAGGGCTCATCGCCAGAAATGTCTGAAAATAGTGGGAGATTAACCTTGGATGATTACATGGAAGCTCAGAAGTATGCAAAATATGCCGTAAGTGCACTGAGTTATGAAGATTCTAAGACGGCTATCGAAAGTTTAATGAAAGCACTTGCAATCTTAAAAAAATGAAATTATTGAGGAATGTTATCTTTATGAATTGCGGTTTTTATTGTTCTTTGTTTTCAACATTGCCCTTAAGTTAGTTTCTGTCACTGCTTAGTTTGCTTGGATAGGAATTTTATGTTATCAATTTTTTATAGTTATCATTGTCAGTCGACTTATTTGTTTCATGAGTTTCAGTCTTGTAAAATATCTTTGGAAAATGATCTTTCAGTTTCAATCTTTGAAATTTTATTTTTGAAACTCTTTTTTTGAAAATTTCAGCGCTATGAAAGATATCTATCTATAAATATGTGAGATGTGAGATGCATTAGATAGATATCGGTCTCTGCTTTAATTTTTATGATCATTTTTTTGCATGATCATTTTTAAATTGTGATCTATTTTTATTCAGCGTAATTTATAATTCACTGTATATTCATATACAAATTTTCACGTGTTTTAATAAAAGTTTTCAGAATTAGCTTTAATAGAAGTTTTGATGCAGAAAACGCTTATTCTCCTTATTCATCCCTATTACTGGTTGTATGTAGTTAAATCGTGGCCGATGCGAATTTGATCCAATTCTTAATTAACGCTGATGATTATTTTGAGTGATTTAAAATTATTTTTCACCACCCTATTCTTCAGAAAAAAGTTTAGAATCTTTTAAAGAGAATATAACAAATTCAAAACAAATTTTAAGGAAGTCTTCAAGTACTAGTCCTCTCAAATTAGGATATATTATCTTGTAGTTAAGAGTGACTTTTCATATGTAGACTTGATTAAGGATCCTAATGCTGGAAGTGTGCATCTGTCTCTTGAATGTTATTGATCTGATCTGTAAGTTCCTGTTGCAGGTAACGAGCAGGGAGAATATGGAAAAAAAAAGAAGGACTAAAGCTAAGCGTGAAGATTATCGTCCATTGGAGTACATCTTTAATTTACGTATTCCGGTTGTAAATCCGTCAAGTGAAAAATAGCTTTCATAATATTTTATATAAAATTTTCTTTTTTTCGGTGAATTGAGGTTAACATTTCTAGGGTTGTGCTGGGTTTACTGATTTCTTTTTAGAACAAAGGAACAGTCTAAGAAAGGAATTGTATTCAACAGGAAGTCAAAAAATAAAAAGAATAAAAAGGGACAGCATGTTACGAAAGAGGTCCCGTTTGTGTCTCCGTTTACAGGTCTTGTTTGTATGGTTCTCATTTATTAGAAATAAAGCTTTAAAATAATGTTTACATTAAAAAACACTTTTGATTGACTTGATTAAATAGTGCTTCAGGTTTTCTCCGAATTCATTCCTTAAAATCATATTTGTAACAGCTATTGAAAACGGAGTTACCTTCAATCTTACCCGTTATTTGGGATGTTTACAGAAGCTTGAAATGATTCCAGTTTTGCACATTTAGGAGAACATGCAATTTTCGCTGTACCGCTTTCTTTGGCTGTCTTACGAATGGGTTCTCATGATGGAATTCCACTACCAGTTGTTGTAAGGCAGTGCATCGATTACATTAATGAAAAAGGTACCATTATTCTGCATCGTTTGACATTTTAATTGCATAATTAAATATCAACATTGCAAACAATTATTTAGGGTTTTTGTAAGTTTTAACAACTACAAAAGTGAAGTCCTGTAAGCTAATTTTGTGCGGTTATAAATACATAGACCTTATTGAGGACTGTGTGTCGAAGGAATTCATCGGATTTCTGCGCCAAAAGCAAATTTGGATAAACTTGAAGAAGCAGTAAATTCGAGACATTCCATTGAGCTAAAAGATGTACACGATGCCTCGGGGTTACTGAAAAGATTTCTGCGACAGCTTCCTGAGCATATCCTAACTAATGAAAAACGACCAGTATTTGAAAAAATTGCTTCAAGTATGTTATGCTTTCAACCTACCGTTATAGTTTTTTCCTTTTTTATTTTTCGACAATTTTCCTTTTATTACTTTTGTATTTAAGCTTCAAATTTTATATATTTCAGATTGTCCATGCGGAACGTTGTCACCATGCCGCTGTTTGGTAGCAGATATGTTGAAAGCACAACTGATTTCGCTACCAGAAGAAAATTATATGTTATTAGCATATATATTCATACATTCTCAAATGATACTGCAAAATAGTGGCAAAAATAAAATGGGTATGGCTGCACTTGGTTTGATCCTGCAAGCCACGCTCAATGTATCACAAGCTGTTGTTCGAATATTCCTGCTTAACGCTTCCGATGTCATTCTAATGAAATATCATTCTCCTTCTGTAAGTTATCATTTGGAAGGAATTGCATTTCTTAAAATTGCTTCATCTGTATCAAAATTTGCAGTTAATCGTTGATTTATATTTTTCTACCGGTTGACGTGTGAGGGGTTGTTTAAGTGGTATTATAAACTATGAACAAATATACCACTACAGAGCAACACAGTACAAAATATATAACCTTTAGTCCATTACCAATTCTCTTTTCCTTGTGTATGTGTATTGATCAAAGTTTTCCTTTTTTTTATGAAACTTTTTTTGCTTTGAATCATAATATTACTTGCATTACATTTCAGATGGTATATCTATTCAAAGATGTTCAAATTAAACAGTAAGTTCTCTTCATTTCAGACATTATCTTTGATCACTTCATGCAAATTCGAATGCTCTTTCAGTTTTGCATCATTTGTTACTCTGAAATAAATATGTTAGCAGTTACCTGACAGATTTCTGATGTAAAAATTTTTATCTTCAACTCATTTCTTATATTTCTTTCAAAAATTTTACTTCCTAAAAAAGTTTTATATTTTAAAACCACAAATATTCCAAAACTTAGTTCCTAAAAAAGTTTTCGATTTTTGAGGTTTAATTTTAATGCAATTATAAATACTTACACTTTATCACGCATTTCAAAAGTAGTTCGCTTCCCCATTCTACTTTTCTGTTTCTGTAAAGCTTTTCTATATTTCGGGTTACAGCTTTCTGTTAGAATCGCGTTATTTGTGTTAAATTGATGTAATAAGAATTGAGACACTCTTGATAAGTAGTTTAATTTGAAAGTAAATGGTGTTCGCTAGTTGATTCTAGTTTTGTGTGCTTCCTAAACATGTGGGTTTCTAATATTTTATGATATGAAAAAAAAAAAAAACACTCACCCTTAAATGTCTGATGACAGCAACGATGATAGCAGTGGAGATGATCGTCAACGTAATAACAACAGCAATTATTGCTGCGGGATTGGTTTTGGTTTGTTCGCTGACTAATTCAGTTTTCATATCCAAGTGGTATAGGGCATGTACAATAGAGGATGTATTTTGATGATGCTCGAATTTTGCATTTTCATCGCCAATTAAACCACCTTTCTGGAATGAATTATTAAGGATTTATGTGTGTGTCATACAAAATCTATAGCTTTTTTGAGGAAAAGAAATATAGATTTGAAGTATTCAAACGAGAGTTGTAATGAATCCTTTATTTTTTTTTGAAATAACTGTGCATCATTTTTTTATTTAATCGTTGCTTTATTAGTTTGTATAGGTTGTTATAACAACAATAATTTCTACTGCGGAAAAATTAAAGCATATCTCAACTTACAGCTAGAAATTTATTGAGAAGGCCTGTACTAATATCTTCTAGTTTTAGATCGTTATCCACTGTTGGCATTGTTGATATCGTTGAATAGATGGCATCATTGCTTGAATTATACATCTTGAATGAATCTTTAATTACATTCATTATTGCTTGTCCTTGTAAACTGTTCGGACGGTTACAGTTTGTTTCGTTAGCGTGCAGTAATATGAAATTTTGGTCTAGCAGAACTGCTTCTTTGTACTTCAATTCGATCTCTTCTACAACTGAAATTAGGTATTATTTGTTAGACAAAAGATTATAAGAAATTCCTTGACAGTGTTCGTTCTATAATTTTTTAGCTTTTGTTACTCTTCGTCTTTAGCAGTTCTACCAAAATATATTTAATTAAAAATTGAACTTATTTCACCCTGATTTATTTTGATTCTGTTTCAACAAATTTATCATTTTTGTTAGCCCTGTGAAATTGAGAATTTAAAAGAGCATACGCGATTCCATATTTTCATCACACAGCCAATTGTTGTTTGATAAGTCCAGCAAACGTAAATTTTTCATATTTTCTAGCACACTTCGTGGTAATGTTGTCAGTTGGTTATTGCGTAATATTAGTCCTTCCAACCTTTCATTTTGAGCTTCCAAATCGCTTTCATCGATCTGCTGCAGTTTCCCGTTGCTCAAGTCCAGCTCCTTTAATTTTTTCTTTATATTTGAAAAAATTCGAAAACTAAGGGAATTCATCCTCTTGGATTTATTTAGGTTTAACTTTCATTTAAAACTTTTATTCACTTACCATCTCAAGACTTGGATTTCATTAGCCTTTCGAATATCTAAGCTCAACTAAAACAATGTTTGAATAAATTAGACCGTTTATTTTTGTTCAGAATCTGAATAATTTGAATTCAGCTGAAACAGTTTCAAATCGCTTACATGTAGTGAAGGAAGGTGTTTGAGGATTTTATTAAATTCTGTGATGCTTATATCACTCATATTTAAGCGATGGAGATTACTGAGTCCGTTGAAAGCATTTTCATCGATCTTCAAAATCCTATTTATTTGCGGAAACTGACTAAAGAAGGCAAATCATACAGCTTTTTTAAAATAATGCTTTCAAATTAGTACCACTTGATTAAGTGAAATTTGTTTATCGAAAACTTAGACTTTATTTTCTTCCATGATTTAAAACTTGCGTGCATTAATCGCTTATTGTGACGAAGGTTTAGGAAGTTAAGTGTTGGACCAAGTTTGTAGAAAGCATTTTTTTCCAGAAATGAAAACTCATTCCATCCAAGATCGAGTTCTTTCAAATGTTCTAGTCCATCCCACCAGCAAGCTAAGCTTTCATTTAGATAGTTTCCGGCAAGTGATAAGCGTTGTAGACTTGGTGTCCAAACAAAACTTCCACATTCCACTTCATTTAGTAAATTGATTCGTAAATCGAGCTATAAATTTTCATCACCATTTGTATATTAAATCATTGTCAATCATTCATTCACTTCTCTTTCACTCCTTTAATTTCATATATCTTCATCTCTTCATACCTTTCTTTCATCAAATGAAAACTGCATTTACCTCTGTGAGTTTCGTAAGACCTTGGAATGTGTTCTTGTGGATAACTGTTAGACTACATTCGGGTAGTAATAGCTTTTCCAATTTGTTCAGTTCTCCAAATGTTCCATCTGTTATATTAGTGATACCATTGGCTCGACCCATATCTAGAACCTGGTATATCGATTTCGGCTTGTAAACACACCTGTTATCTGATGATTTTTTGGGTCGCATTTTAAGGTTAAAAAAAGGCCGTGCAATATAAATTCTATTCATATTTCTTTTAAACGTTCCCTTGAAATTTTCTAAAGCATTTAAATTTTCATACGATTTAATTCCTACTTCGAGTTCTTTAAGCTGTGAGATTTCGTCGAAGATATCGTTGAGAGAGTTGTGATTTCCGATACTAAGCTGTTTTAAGGAATTGCGAAGTACCGATAGTGTCCCATTTTCTAAGGACGATATAAAATTTCCTTCGAGATTCAAGATTTCCACCTAAAAATGACGTTTAAATATGATGAAAAAAGGATTGAATTTATCTCCATTGAAGCCTTTGGAATAGTTGTATGAATTAAGAATCACTACTAAGAAACAATTTAAATTAAAAGGCAACATTTTTTATTTTCGCAAGGTTCTAAAATGAAAAGATGGATTCTTCAAGAGCAGTTTATTTCGGAAAGCAACCTTTAGGCTTAAAAATTTGTTAATGGGACTCACATGTTGTAATGTTTGGAAATCCGTTCTAACCAGATTAGTTAACTTGTTGTAGGCCAATGATAAAACTCTCAATTTCGTTAAGTTTTGAATTGCTTTTTGTGGAAATTGCTCTAGGTTACAGTTGGTAATGTAAAGTTCTTGCAAGTGCTCAGCTAGGCCATGGAATGAATCCTCATGAATGTTCAGGGGAGTGTGTTCAGCACATTTATCTGAAATTCAAAATAAAGTATATGAAAATTCGATTCAAACTTGTGTATTTAAAAGTAGTTGGATGCCAGATAAAGAAATCATAGAGGAAGTAATGAATTTGTTAATTATAAGCTAACCGATGGATATGATTTGTATAGGTGCATAAGGATTATCGAAAATTTTTCCAGGTAGTACACCAGCGTCAAATTTAACACGGCTTAATGTCACCTTCAAAATTCATGATTTGGTTGAATGATAGAAAGAAGTGAAGGAATTATTATCTGTAAATAACTACAGCGTAGTTGGATTGAAACTATAAATCTCATCAAATTTTGTTTTAAATTGCGAAACTTATAAACTGATATTGACAATAGTTTTCAGTTCTTATATAGTCTTAAAATTGGGAAATGATAGCTATGATTAAAAATATGGTTCAGAAAATTTAAACTTTTTCAGAGCGAACTATCTGATAGTCCTGTTTGTTTTTCCGATTTGAAGAAAAACGAACCTGTTGGACGGTTTTTTTTGCAGCACTAACAGCAAGAAGTGCTTTTTTGAATTGTTCCAAAGTAGAACTGTACAAACAGTTGATATGTACGTGACCACTATCCCGAACATTACAGAAGCAAAAACTTCCGTTATAAGAATCAACATTTGCTATTGCGCTAAGAGCAGGACAGCCGGAGAGTGAATCAGGTTGCTGCGCTTCCACTACAAATACTAGCAACAAAGTGAACAGCAAGTACGAATAAATCAAGATATCTTGAATTTGCATTTGTTTCATGTGAAATTTGATAACTACCGAACGATAAATTCTCGCTTTGCATGGTTGAATTTTTGTGATGTTTAGAAATAATTTCAAAGATGGAGTACCAAAAAAGGGAAAAATTAATAGTCGAAGTAAAAATTCTGTGAATCTTTCGTGATAGTGAAGTATGTTGGCCGGAAATAATTCATAGGATATCCTTTTTGTAGTTTCTGAAGTTGATTTAGGATTGTTGACTTCGTTTCTGGTTATTGATGTCAGTGGAATGGTCATCATTGAAGAGGTTGTTTGATAGTGATGAAATTGAAGATGATAATGGTATATTGTATCAGTCACCAAACGACCCAAAATGTGATCTTTCTAAAGAAAATATAATAGATTTTCTCGTATAAGGGAGGTTCTTACTATTAATACTACCATTGCTACCATTATTCTGGTTTTCTTTGTCATACCCCTTCACCCCTTTCCTTGCGCTGATGTCATCATGTCTACATGTCGATATTTTCGTCAATTTCAATTTAATTTTTCTACCCATCATCGTAATTTAGGATTCGAGTTTCTTTTTTATCTTCACAATCCTATGCAGTAGTTTGTTCATTAAATTTTATACAGCATATAACTCATTAAAAATAATTTCTTGTGTAAGTAAGAGATAAAATTATGAATAATGATCCTAAAATATGCACCATTTATGCATAATTCGATTTCATTTAAACATATTGTATTTATTGATTTGTTACTTTGCAACATGATAACGACCTATAAGATATGTTTATCGTTTTTAGATCTGACAATTGGCCTAACTATTCTTTTAACTTAAAAAAATTCAGTGTCCTAAATGTGTACCATATTAAAATTTGAATGAGACTTATTATTTATGGCTTTGTCAGTTTTAAAATGATCTACATCCTATTCTTTAATTCTCAAATTCAGATCAATTAATCATGTTTAAAAGATTTCTGGCTATCTCGGTACTTTTTTTCAAATAACACTGCTGAGCTCTTCCTCTCAATTCCAGTGTGCATGAAGTCGAGAATATTATTTTCATTGAAGAGAAATTCATTCGGAAATGAAGCGAGTGCTGCTTTTAAGTCAATTAAGAATTGAATGTACATATTGGTATGTCGATTGCAAGAAAATATTACTTTAAGATATGTGGCACCAAAATCACCAAAGATTATATGCGAAGGAGATTTGTCGGATTCCGAGGAAGGACTCCGTGGTGAGGAACGGAAGCAACGAAGTCGTCTGCAACAGCTTCATCTACAAGTAAGCTTTTATTAGCGACATTTCTTTATTAACAAAGACTGGAAATATACGTGATAATATTTTTCATGAAAATTACATCTATCAAATGCAGATACGTTTTTCCATCCTAAGCAATATGCATATTTCAAATTTTTGTATCTTTTCTTTTTTGTTTTAACTTGTGTAAAAAATATATTTTAGGTTGCATATTTTACAGTCAAAAAGTTTAATCATAATCAAACTATTTCAACACTTCAAAAAGCTCATATCTTTTTTTGGCTCATTGCTTTTTTGGCCAGAAATTCATCACTTTCTTGACACCCACTTTATTGTAGTATTTTTAAAACTTACAGATAGAAGAGCTTCGAGAATTAAATTTACCAACGAAACAAACAGAAGAAGAGTTGTGGGATGTACAGACTGCAATCACAATGCTTAGCAGAAAAGTAAATGTTTTGTTTTATTTCTCCAAAAATTCAAATATGCTTCCTCAGAATCTTTTCTTTTTACAGCAATCAGTCTAGCCATGTCGAATGCTTTTATCACGAAGTTTTGAATTGAAGCAGGTCATATATGCAGAATAACTTTCATATATATATATATATATATGCAAGTTATTCTGAGCTTTTGAGTTCCTTGCTATTTCGAACAAACATATCAGCTTATGCAACTATCACTAGCTATCCATTATTTTTAAATGTCGCATCTAACAAATATACTTCCCACTTATAACATTTCAGCTCAAAAGTATACGTATGGAAAATTCGGAAAAAATCAAAACACGAAAAAATGATGGTCCAACTCCAACATTGGAAATGTTTGAAGAGAAGCAATTACTAGCCGCTTGTACAGCTCTACGCGAGGACATCGCTCGTCATAAATTAGAAATAATCGCGCTGGACCAATGTTTAAATGCCATGGAAGTAAGATTTTTTTCTTGGTAGCCCGAGGTCATTTCTACTTCGACACTTGTTGGTTAAGAAACACGGAGAGTCAGAAACAATGTATGCTCATTTTGATAGATTCTGCAGTTATATAAGTTGAAAATTCACCTCAGTATTTAAATAATTTTTTGTTGAGAATGTAACTGTTTGAATTCCCAGGTAGCGTTGGTAATGCTCTTTTATATATGTGATGATATGGAATATATACAATTCTTTTTTTATCACTGGGCAACTGTACTTTCAAATATTCGGAAATTTTTTTTTTACTGGAATTCGCAAATTCAGGAGGTAGTTTGATGAAAGCTTATACCGATGCTTTCCAAATTCATACATTAAAAGATTTGCAAAAAACCTCTTCCAAAATGATATATATATATATATATATATATAATAGATAGCATACTGAGTTGAACATTTTTAAATACATTAGAGTTATTACAATTATGATGTTAGTATTTTTTCTTAATAATTCATTTTAAGAACAAAAGTTTCGAAACTTTAAAAAACATCGACGACGAGTATGGGGAGGAATACTGGAGGGATGAATGTTTAAAAGAAGAAAAGGAACGAGATAATTTGTTGTCCGAAATAGTTTCACTTCGAAATGCTTGTTGCCAGTTACGAGCTCAGATTGAACTAAATGCTGTTAAAAGGCTCACATTACTAGTTACAAGATTTTAGCTGTAAATAAATTTTCCCTCCGCATACTGTATAAACGAAATGTTTTGTTACCATTCATATCGTTTTTTTTCATCTTACTGTTATTAACAATATAACAGAGAAAGACTTCCTGGAAACAAACCGAAAGGTTATCTAAAGTAAGCAAAATGTGAAAAAACAACCATTTCGAAACATACAGAATTGATACTAACCAAAAATTGAATAAAGACGGCACAAACTAGAGAAAAGTCTGTCTAATGCTTTTTTTTTTTTAACCCTTAGCTCGTCATTCACCATGGAATCCAAGGTCCAGTGAGATTCCCATAATAAAGTTAGAGGTCAAAAATTCAAAGGAGTCCCAATGCTCTTTCAAAACAGCGAAATAATATTTCATAAATTTGAAATGCAGTGCCTTCAGCAGATCGTGGTTGATGAGTATATTAAAATATTTCTATACTGTTATTGACAAAACAATATGAATTCCACCTAATTTAACGTAATTTAACATAAGGAAAGAGTAAAAATAAAGCCGTCAAGAAACTCTACCTTCAGATCAAATCTCTTGAAAGGCACTAAGAATTGAATTCGAAAAATTATATAATTCCTAAGAGACATTAAACTGTAGCTACGATAGATGAAGTGAAAAAGTTAAATGAGCAGAACATTGAGAAAACTGGCACGCAGTACTATTCTTGAAAAACTTTCGGAAAACTCATCATTTTGTATGCTGATGATGCGCTTTCCATATTTTATGTTTCAATAAAATTTCGGATTTTAGTTTTGCTAATTTCAAACTTAATATCTACGAAATAAATATTAAGGTAAAAAACTTTGACTGACAATGTAAACAACATATAGGAAACAACAAGCTTAAATATAAGCGAAGAATTTTACGATTAGTTCGTACGGCAGTGTTACATCATATTTTTAAAAAAGATTGCAAACGTCTCCTCTAATAAATTTACTACCTTGTTTAGAAACTAAGTAGGATACCGAAAAAAATTTGTCAAAAACCTTGCATCTTATGTTTAGAAAACATGAACACTAATATTTTCGTGACTACCTATTTCTTTCGGTTTGTGATAAAGCTATTTGTATCAAATGATCGCGCACTCCATCACCGTTTGGGAAATTACGGACCTGAAAGTATCAAAAACTTTATAGGTTATGATATAGAGGTTATTTAAAATATTCTTTATTAGTTATGCATGATAGGAAAATTATGGAGAAATAGGTTTATAAAATGCTATTAATACCATTTTAACGGCGTGTTCAGCATGTTCCCGAGCTGCAGTTCGTGTTTTTTGCAGACCAGTGCTGTTACCAACAATTTCCCAGGCCAATTCTATATCACCTTCTTTGGAAAAACTTCTTGTTATCAGTTTATTTAGCTCAGGGTATTCTTCGGCAGCGAAGAGAACAGGAGCTGTTGCAAGTCCTGGAATGACAAACTTAACTGAGAAATTAGATAGCTAAATCATTATCGAATTATAAATGAATTACCCAGCTTCAAATCATTTGCAGTCGGTTTTCCCGTAACGGATGATGTAGAAACATAATCCAACAAGTCATCAATCATTTGGAAGGCGATGCCTAAAGATTTCCCGTACTCGTATGCGGAAAGTTCGTCTGCCTCTGACACATCTTAAAATTAAAAAATTATTCTTTATGTACTAGTCAGTCATGTCACATACAAATGGATAAGGTAAATTTAACAGAACAACCAATGCCAACTCAGGTGCAAAGTTTTAAGAGATTCATTACTGACCTGAAAGCATTGCAGCTGATTTGCAGCTATTCGCGAAAAGAGATGCTGTTTTTGAATAAGTCTTGGCCATATATTTATTGAACCTTTGCGTAGCATTTAAATCTGTCCCATCATTCATTTGCATAAACTCGCCTTTCACTAAATCTTCAATGATAGTTGCCATCACCGAAATAACGGACGGCCTTCCGATGCTGCATAACACCTGTGTTGCACGAGCCAGAATGAAATCTCCCACCAATACAGCCTAAAATATTTTTATTCTAACGACAATAATTGTAATTAATACCACAATTTTTTTGCTTGAAGTCTATTCCTAAGACAATAAATTGATGTTTTTAATGGAATCCCACATTAGATTATTAAATTAAGTAGGAGTTCAATCAAAGTTTCTCTCAAAAAATACTTACGTCTTACAAAATTTTAAATTCCCAAACAATTTAGCGATAACGACAGATATCAAGTACATTATTTCTTCCAGCCTAAAGTCGGAGTCTTTCGCATTAAAATGACGTGTATAATAAGGTGATGGTATCTTGTTTTGTCCAGCGAAGAAACTGATTACCATTTTATTGCCCCAAAGTGCATTTATAGTTCGACTTCCCCGCCTTATATCAGCCTTATCGATAACGTCATCATGAACCAATGATGCAGTGTGTATCATTTCTGATATAACCGCTATTTTGTATTGATTTCTTGTTACTGTATCACGACCCGAATCTACTAACATCCTGAAACTTCAAAGATGAACGAAAAGAAAAGAACATGAACTGGTCCTATACTTGAAAGCTACATAGTTCTTAATAACGTCTACGATGTTATTTGAAATCAGAAGTTGGGAGCTATAAAACATAAAATATTGACAGTGCTTGTCATTATGTTAAGTTATGGGAAAAAAAAAACCAACGATTTAGGCTCAAACTGGTTGCATGCTCTAGCCATCAACAAACAAATGGTGGGCCGAAACAGTTTTCCGCCTTGATCAAAATAATATTTGGCCATTTCTTGGAAAGTTTTCGTGAATGCTGAACTTGAAAAACATGTCGATAATAATGATGGGCTGTTTTCTGCATTTCGCACAAGGGTTTCCATAATCTCAGACTGTAATTCACTGAGAGTTTGATGTAAAAAGAAACATAATTCAAACTCGATGCTCAGTTATTCGATCTGAGGATCAACATATGGATGTACGAAAATTACCTGAAGTGCTTTCAACTTATCTCTGATAAAGCTGGGCAGCCGTGTACTAGAGACTTCTTCGGCAGCCAGATATGAGCGATAAAATTTGCGAGTTCTTATGGTTTGAGGTGATGTTGTCTGATGTAAAACTATGAGCTAAACAAAATCATTATTTGGTATAATTTAAAAAAATTATGACTACCTGTGAAATAGTACTGTACCATTACAATCATTTCAAACAATTTAAATGTCATTCTACCGTTTTTATTTTTGCAAAAATTTCTCTTTCTTTTGAATGTGTAAATTTATGAAACGAATAAATTTTACAAAGTCTAGAGTTTCACAGAAATTTTTAAACCAAGACAAGCGGGTAATATCATTTTCTGAGTAGCATAATTTCGAAAACTAGTTCGTCAGGAAAAAAGCATACGATAATGCACTTTTTAAGTTCAGTACAATTTTATACAATTTTATCCAGTACAATTTTATACAAAGGTTCCAAACAACTGGATTATATTAGTAAACTGTACTCCTCCTTTCTCCCCCTTGTATTCGATTTAAAGACATCACACATATCAACACTAGCAATATACAACATTTAATTCACTGAGAGTTTGATGCAAACAAATCAGAAAAAATTTTACATTTTGTGGCAGAAGTGAAGAGGAAAGCTGTCGGTTCCAAATGGAATGTATACAATATAAACTCTTAGCACGCCATATCATATAGTCCATCGATTGAAATGAAAGCTGAAAACTTGAACAATTACCAGTAACTACGACTTAGTTAAAGGCTGTAGAACGACTAATTCACTGCTGTCTAAGTCTATCAGCAAGTGTCTTACTGCATCTATACTCTACCTCATAACCTTAAAAATACTTCTACCCAATGCTTCCCACTTGACAACCGAACTTCAAACATTCAGTTTTAACAAGACGGGCCGCGGTTCTTAAACCGTGCCTCGTTGTGATTCCGACTCATTAGGATAGTGGGTGAGCATACAGTCGTCCGGAAATGTCCGAGGAATCATTGCTACTCTTTCTCCCTCTCCCTCTCCCTCCCTCTCTCTCTCTCCGTCATTTATTACTAAGCGATTCTTTAATTAAAAGGTCAATTGCTTCCTTTCAGGACACACACTAATAGATAGTGCATGATGCCACCTCATGATGAACAATATTTGGTGGAAGAAAAGAGTTGGAGTGAATTGCTTTCACATGCTCGATTATGGCGGAATATTTCAAAGTTATATTTACCATTTCTTTTTTATTATCAGTTAGGAGTTTGTTAACAGTGAAGAAAGTAGATATAAGTTTTCAAGTTTTCAGTTCTAAGGCAAAAATAGCAAATGAATTTAGATGTTTATTCTGTGGAAATGTTGAGGAAATATTAAGTTAAAGTTCTGAAGGAGGCATTGTTTTACAGTTTAAACCGGAATTCAGTAAGGAATGGAGCACAATCTGTAGAATTTTTGCAGGAAACGAATGAATATGACGCTGCATCATTTTTCACTGTATATTGATCATTCGGGTACGGAACGAATGCTCGCATTAGGTGGATCAGGGCAGTCTCCTCAAGAAACCATCTACACTGCTCCATTAACCCGTTCACCCTTGGTTAGCTCAGTGGCCAAGTTAACTTTATGTCCGTATTTAGACACGAAACCTAGTAAGGTTGGCTTTCATTCTTAAATTATGTAATCCATTTGGATGATGGAAACTTTTTGCAGATATTGTAGATATGTACCTCACACGTTGATTTTCTTAAAATTAGGTATCATACAAAAATCCTAGATATCAGATGACTTATGCTTCGCATAACTATGTGCCGAATTTCTCCACTTAACGGCTGCTGTGAAGTTTTTTGTCTTTTTTGCTTTTTTTTTAAAGTGTTTCTAGATTAAAAAACTAACGTAGTTGAGATGAAAAATTTTTTCAGTAGCTGTTTTCTGTCTTATGAATAGTAAAAATTTCTTTTCACCTAATTTTGATATTAGTGGGGGTGAAGTAAAATTAGGGCGAACAAGTGTATATTTTTCAATATGCGAAAATTTGAAGTTTGTATATCAAGGAACCTAAGATTACCTATCATTAATGCATTTGCAACAACTATTTTTTAAGCTCATGGATTGCAGAAAGCTGTGAGTTCCACAGTTCCTGTTTGTGCACCAACTTTGAATGTTAATGCTTTTAGCGATTTATAATTTCTGTGAATGATATGGCTTCTGTATTCATTGTTTTTATTCTGTGCTTGTCTAAGCAATTTTTGTGTATAGGAGCTCAAACTTCAGCAGTAGTGGAGAGTTTCAAAAAACTTATATTTTCTGGTTTAACTTGACATAGATTTTTATGTTACACATTCATGATATCATAAAATTTCAAACAAAAAGCTTTTGAGATATGGAAATCCAAAAATATCTAGTTTAGTGAGTAGTGTTTGACTGTTTATGATGATACAATGCTGTTTCAAAATATTATAAGGAAAACGGAATGCATAGTTTAAACCTTCGCAGTGTATTAGCTATTGCTTGGTATCTTAAGCACTTAAAAATCTTCAAAAATTAGTTTCTGGAAATAATATAATGTACCAATTAACATTTCCAGTTTATTTGCTTAGCTCAAGCATTTTATTAGTCAGGTTTTTTTACTTTTTAATTTCAGGGTGGGCCACCACCTGCTGAATTGGCTGCATTATGTGAAAGACAAAGAACAACCGTTTCATCTGGCATATCGTCATATGACTTTGATCCTACTTCATTCACACTGTTGTATTCCGATTCTACCAGTTTGTATCGTATTCAGGTATCGTACTCAGATTATTTCTTTTCTGCCGTCCCTAGTAGTGCTCAAGTAATACAATCAAATGGATTTGATGAAATCTGAATTTCTTTTATACCGTTTTCTTCCTTTTTATGTGGGATGTAAAAAATCCCACACAAAAAACAAAAGTTAAAACATCAGAATTTAAACAAATATAAAGTGGGATTTTTTCTTCCTAGTTATTTTTCTAATATCATGTTAGTCAATTTTCAGAAGGAAGAAAAAAGCGTAATAGGAAATGGTATAAAGGGTTGTCCTTTGCACGCACAATTATGTCCGGTGGACAACACGCTGGTAGCATTTGTTGCAAATTCCAACGTGCATATTGATTGGTATGTTTCATAAATATTTTTCATTTGTTCAAAAACCTTAGTTTCCTTCCATTTGTTCAAAAATTTATCAGTTTATGAGAAATTTAGAAAATCCGCATATGCTGAAATTTTTAAGGAAAGGGGAAGTGATTTACTCATCGTCAACTGGAGATAATATTATAAATGGATGTTCTTCGTTTATTGCCCAAGAGGAGTTGGATCGATTTACAGGAATGTGGTGGTCACCTGGTCCACGAAAAATGCTGCTATATGAACAAGTTGACGAAACAGCTGTTACTAGTTTGCAATTTACTATACCAGGCTGCTCGCCTGGACGACCAATGAAGTATCCCGTTGCTGGGACTGCTAACGCTATTTCTACATTGCGGTTAATTGTTATTGATGGAAACAAAGTAATTTATTGTTTATTCATTTACATTTTTTAGTGAGACTGGTTAGGGGATTTAATCTTTTCCTTTATGAAACCATTAAATTCCAATGAGTTTCTTAACATTTTGTTACCTAATACCCCATTTTTTTTTAGATCACTGATGAAAAACTGGCTGTAGAACTTAAAACAGTTTATCCTTGGTATGAGTACCTAGCACGAGTCGGTTGGTTATCTGATGGAAGCGCGTATGTTTTTGGTTATCTTCGCATATTTTTTTTTCCAGATATTGGAATCATTCCACACGGTGTTTTGAATTCATTTTTTTTTTCATTATAGAGACGTTTTTTAACAGATTGTTTGCCAGAATTGCGCATAAGATTTTCTGTAATAATCATTTTTAATTATTTTAAGAATTTGGGCTTTGCTGCTCAGTCGACTGCAAGATCGGTATGCATTAGTTTTGATACCACTGAATCTGTTTGGATCACGAGATAATCAGAGTAGTGCGCAAGTAGTGACTTTGTTGCAAGAACAGTCAGAAATTTGGTTCAATGTAAGTGAAGTTTTTGGAATTACTTGGAACTTATTGTAAATTTGTATAATACTCTGAAGATAATAAAAATATTGTTACTTAATTTTTCATTTGATCATTTTGATTATTCATTTGATGTCAGTATCATTGTTTGAGGTGGATAATTTAACTCGATTTCTAACTCCAGTTGGAGGAATTTTGCAGTTTATTCATGCAAGTGATCGTGATGATTATACTCATTTATTTCACTATACTGCTAAACTTGATGAGGGTAGGATTATTTTTTTAACCGATATTTTATCAACGAAAATTTATCGACTAAATACTTTGTGTTTTTAAATGTTTTGATGCATATTCTAGCTCATGTAACAGCTACATGCTCATCTCGACCAGTAACTGCCGGAGACTGGTCGGTTTTAAAAGAACCCGGTTTATTTGTTGATGAAAAGAGAAAGCATGTTTACTTTGTCGCCAACAAACACCATCCGTCTGACTCCAATTTGTATGTTTCAAATGAAACTTGTACAAGTGATAACTAAGATTTCTAAGTCATCATAGTATGTATGATGTTTCGACAGTTCTCAAAATAAGGTTTTAGTAGTTATATTGTAATTGCAGATGTGTAGTGTGTTACAGCGGTTCATCGACAGACTCGAAGATTTTAAGTGGTATCGGCCTTTCATATAGGCATGTTTCTGATTTCGTACTCTCACAATGCTGTGTGAAAATAGCTGTTTCTAAACCTTTTCTTTTGAATAGATGACATTATCTAAATTATCTAATGATATCTAATTGTCTAGCTTTAAAGCCATTTTCATGCCTGAAGGCTGAAAATTGTTTTGTAAATTGAGAGTTTGCATTTCAAATTCCATTTAGATACGAGCGGATGGAATGTGAATTGCAGTTGAATCCGGAAATAGGATTTGTTTGTTGGGAAAGCTCACTGCAAATGCCACCACGATGTGTATTCTATCGATTGCATCACTTAAATGGTGATCGGTTGCCAATAGCAACACTACAACATTTTATTTATTTGCCTCAGCAAAATCTTGCTAATGAATTAAGCCAAAGGATTGGTTTGTTTTCCACCTTTATGCTTTTTACACTGTTTATTTTTTGCCGGTTCGTCTTTGATAGTTTATTTGTTCTATAAGAACTTATAAGTCAAGGCATTTTCTTAGTTTTAAGAATTTAAATTCACAATTTTTATATAAAAATTCTTGCTGAAAAAAGTATTTTAGAAAATATATGTGTGCCGAAAGTTGCAGTCAAGGATTACCCTGAATTAATCGAATACCAGTCAGAAAATTCTAAACGAAAACACTATGCGCTATTGCTGAAGCCATTTGGAGCAATTAGAGGACTTCAGTATCCGGTTATTCAACTTGTTTACGGTGGGCCCGGGGTGCAACTTGTTCGTAACGCTTGGTCCACGTCAGTTTCGTTTCTCTTTCGTTGCCATCTTAAAACTTAAGCTCATAATAAAACACTAAAACCTAAAGGGCGAAATTATAAAGAAATGTTTATACTTCAAACTCTTTCCGACGCTACTCGTAGTATTCAAGCAATATGCTAATGCTTTGTTTCAAAACAAAATTACGAGATTAGTGGTTTATTACTTGATAGGAATCTAATCTCTCTATTTTTGTTTTCCAGGAGGAATTTTTTCCAGGAGAAAAACCAGGAGGAATTGAATTGCTTTTTACTGAATTTATAATATCGTTAATTTTTAGATGGGTTGGATTTCGAAAATTTGCTAGTCTTGGTTATGCAGTGCTTATGGTTGATGGACGAGGTTCATCGAATCGTGGTATTTCATTTGAGGCTGCTCTAAAAAATAAGCTGGTGAGTGAAAAGAGATTAGTAAAGATTCATAATATGAAACTCAAGCTTCATCTTTTACGCTGTAATTTGTGTAATGCTTGAAAAGTTCATAGTTGAAATGAAGTTTTCCTTTGAAACTCTTTTTTTTAAGGATTCATTCTTTTCTGATTTTTGTTTAGGGAACTGTGGAAATTGAAGATCAAGTAGAAGGTCTTAGAGAAGTAGCGAAACGAACTGGTGGTTTACTAGACCTTACTCGAGTAGCGATAATGGGTTGGTCTTACGGCGGTTATTTGGCACTGCTCTGCCTCGCAAAAAATCCGAATGTATACAGGGCAGCGATCGCTGGCGGTGCAGTTACATGTTGGAGGCTTTATGATACTGCCTATACAGAACGTTACTTGGGCTTGCCATCTGATCCTATTTATAAAGATTCTTCAGTACTAAGTTATGTTAACCAATTACCGAATGAGTAAGTGTTTCCCGTTTGTTTGCACTACGTTAGTGTAAGCGTTACAATTGCTGATAATCTTTATTTATCACTTCTGTTCACGTTTTAAATCCCGACATAGTGAATGAAAATTTTTATTTTAGAGTTGATCGTTTGCTGATTGTTCATGGTTTAATCGATGAAAATGTACACTTTTCTCATACCGAGCGTCTAATTGAGGCCTTAATAGCAGCTGGCAAGCCACATCGCTTGCAGGTATTTTTTAAAAGTGTTTTAGTGGAAAGTCGTCAATCGCGTAGAAACTACTGCGAAAATAGGCAATAGGATTATATTTGCTTTATTAAATAGTTTGTTTATTTATTTTTTGTTTGAAGAAAACGCTAAATACAGAACAGCACTACAGTTACAAGTTTCACGCAGTTGGTGATTAAAACATGAACATTTTGAGGAAATTTGAAACTTTAGTTCACTAATTTTATATTACCATGTTTTTCCCACTAAAAATTTTTTTACCCTGTTTTTTTAACATTGCAGGTTTTTCCATCGGAACGTCACGGTGTACGATCTGTCGAGGCAGGCGAATTTCATGATGCTTCTATGTTATCCTTTTTGTGTCGCGCTCTTGCCGTTGATCGTATACATTCAGATATTACGAAAAATACAGATAAGTCATTCTAGTGAAATTGTAAGTGATTCTCTTTTTTCGTTAACCAGACGTATATTTTTGGTTTTTTTTTTTGGATTAAATAGATCTTTTAATTACATTAGTTTTCGAAAAAAATTAGTCCTGAAATTTTAGTTGTTGATAGCTTGTGAGAATGTGATCTTTGTGCATTTTATGTTTGTTTGTATCTTTTTAATGTTTTTTTTTAAATGGTTTTGACAGACATTTTTATGTTTTTCACGATTTCAAAGGCAGCTGTTGTTTAAGTTGTTTGTCTTACTAATTTATTACTGTATGCAGTTACAGACTAATGTTTTCAAATTGGAGAATTGAACTGCAATAATTTATAAAATTGTTGCTCTTTGCTTTGAGCGAACTAATCAGTTAAAGATCGGATGTATAAAATAAGTAGCAGAGTATTGTTATAAACATTATGCTTTACATTCGTCTCTTTTTTGGTAGTATGTTTAAGACCTTTTCAAGTTTTCGTTTTATATCGTCTCACTTTCTTATATGCGAAAAGTTTGTGATGTTATGAATACAATGTGTGTAAACTTTCCCGATAATAGTCAGTCAGCTTTTACTAGGCGTTGCATTACAGATGCAATTTGCATTAACTTCCCTCTTCCGGAATGTTCCCGTTTTATGCCTTAACTTGCTAAAAGTGACTAATTTGATTGAAAGTTCGGAACAGTGACGAATTATCATCCAATATTATTGAAATATATGAAAGTGAATAGCACTGGCTGTTATAGAACTTTTCGTACATATTTATAGAGAGACAAAATAGTAAAATTCAACAATGTTGAGATGAAAATATATCTGAGAAGCCCTGCAATATAGGAATGCTAATCACATCAATTTCTGATGGCTTCGAGTCCCATAGTATGCTAAAGTGACCAGCTGAATTGCTGGTCGAGTCGCGTTTCACGTTTGCTTTAGTGTAGGGGTAAAGAGATGGGTTATTAAGTCATATATTGGAGAGGGGGAGAAAGATTTGGATTTGGTTTTTTCTGACATTTAAGGGAAATTGCATAGGTTCAGTTCTTGAATATACTGTGAGGGTACACTGTTTTTTTCTCTCACACAATAAAATTAAGTTGATTCCTTAATCCGGTCACTTTGCATTCCTCAGTAATGTATGCATGATGAAAGAAGGGAACTTATGAAGAGATGCACAGCAGTTCATATGCCCGTAAACCTGACGTTTAGAGAATAGTGCCAGCGAGTAGATGCTAAGGCATCCAATTTCAATACTTAAACTTCTGGAAGTTATCAAAATTGTTAAGGGATCTGAGACGTAATATGTCATTTCTTCCTTTGATCCAATTTGAATCGTTGAGTGTAATGGCTTGTTTACAGTTAGTATTGATACGTTAAGTTTTCAGGTAAAGTTTGATAAGTTTGTTGAACATATCAAGATGTCTACGGACAACTCGTGTTTAGCTCCTGAGCAGATCTCGAATGCAGTTTACGAGGAACCTTCGTCATTGTCTGAAAAAAAAGCTAACAGAAGTCGAGAAAAAGCCAAACAATGGACGTATTATATTGAAACACTTAACCGAACAATTGATTGCATCTATGAAATATGTCACAAGGAGCAAACCGTTAATGGATGCAAAGTTTCTAATTTTCTGTCAATCAAATTTATTAATATATAGTTGTTAATTGCGTTTTAGAGATTTTCAATAAATGATAAACTTAGTGAAAAATGACTCATACACAGTCGGAGCCTTAGCTGCACTCTGCAAACTCTCTATGGAGTTTGAGAGGGACTGCATATTATTTGAGGATAACCTGAATAATAAACTGTTGGGTTTTTTACATTTTTTCTGCTTAGGAAGCGTTGATGTATCTTTCAAATTCTGTTCGCGATTTTGAATCACTCATCAAAACAATTCAGCTGGAAGTTGGTTGGGATGAAAAAAGCAAGTATGTACTTTTTCCAACTTATATTTCTAGCATACCAATACTTTTTACATTGAATAATCTACCAACAAGTATGGTTTGTACGAACAATGTTGTTTTTGAAATCCATTTGATTTTTATAAATTAATTTATAACTATTCGATCTTCTAATTTCTTTATTTGTCCTGTAGACGACATGCAGTCGCTTGGGAAATTCGAAAAGCAATATCACCTCCTGGAAAGACAATTGTTGGAGGACCAGATAAAAAGGGTGCTGGTACCCTTATAAATATACTTAAACTGTAAGTCTTCGATTTTCTTTGGCTGAAAATTATATAATCTTCTACTCTGAAAAAGTTTATAGTTATAGGATTTTGTTCATATTCGCAATATATGTTTCAAATCAGAAGTGCAAGCCATATATACAATATTCTCTGATCTGTGTTTGTGTGGTAGGTTAAAACAAAGAATGGGATTTCTCCCACTAGCTAATGATCTAGTTGGGTAGGTAGCGATATCATACCTTACAACTTCATTACGCTAGCAAAGAGCAGGGATGGAAAAGTAAAGTAAATTATGAAAGAAAGTAAGCTCTGAAAAAATCTTAATTGAAAAAAGTTTCTTTCATATGAAATTGGAGTGTTATGTTCTTTTTTCGTTGTCTAACACCAATCGCTATGTCTTTTACATCATCATAACGAACTTTTTTTTTTCTTTTTGATTCTCCGCTTGTGATCTTTTTTCGAATTCTTGAAACTTTTGGACGTCATTTTACTCCAATATTCCGAAGTTAGTTCATGTTTGAAACTTCAAAACATGTTTCATTTGTAATATGATTTCGATTATACACCAGTAACGAAAAGTGGCTGGATAGGTATCTTTTCACTCGTAAGTATTCGTTATATTTATTATTCTTGTTCAATGAACTTTTATCATGCAAAAAATTGCTTTATGTATATCACATTTTGCGAACAGTTTTTGTTATTAAGGCTTTCTGTAACATCTTGGCGTATGAGAAACTTGGGTGCAAACTAAAAAGTATGAGCTTAAATGTTTGATAAATTTGCTTTTACAATCTTAAGAAGTTTTGAAATTCAATCTCTGCTTTTATTCAAGTTATTTGAATAAGTGCAGATTCAACTTAGAAATAAAGTAGAAGTAGCATATGTTTCGTCATCTACGCAATTATGAATTGAAATTTATACCTGCTTTTGAGATTGGAAATTGAACTGCATTTTGGTAGGCTTAGTTACGGTGCTTGCAAGGAGTTGATATTGAAGTCTTTGCATTCTTTTGATATTCGAATAATTTAGTAAAAGCTTTTTTTTTTGGTAATATTGGTTTTGTCGTGTTACATGTTACTTTGGTATCGGGAAATATTTCAATACAAGTTTGTCTCTTTGAAGTTAAGCATCTTTGAATGCTTTACCACAGAGCAATTTCTTATACAATAATAATTATCATTGTCCAGATCCAGTCTTTGCCTTGCTATCTCCTTCTTTTTTTGCGGTTGAAAATAACGTGTTTGTTTTCTTGGGAATCCCCCTCATCGGGTTTTTATCCGTGAAATTCTTCTGTTATCTGAACAACAAAATTCCCATAACTTACTTAGAGTGTAATACAGTTCAGGCATAACTTTGGATTGGTTCCTACCACGATTTCTGCGGTTGGTAATTTCATTGCTTGGAATTTAAAATATTACATAAAAAAAAAAATTTTAATATTATAGGAATATTTTAAAGCAATAAGTTTATCCCTAGTTTGGGTCCGTTTACATCGGTGATACGACCTTAACATTTCCTGAGTTCATTGAGATTATTACTTTGCTGAAAATAATCCACTCCTTTTGTATGGGATGTTAATACTATGAAAATCATGAAGATCTTCATGAGTGTTTTTCAGCAGAGATTAATGTAAAATACTGCTTTTGAGCACCTTCTGTCATATTTGGATAATTATGCGCGTTTTTTTGTGAAGGTACTGATGTCGTTCTGTTTTCGTACATCATCCTTTTTTTCTTTTTTGAATTTTGCTACCTAACAGAAATTTTTGAAAATTTGAAATCTCTAATATTTATTATGTTATAAATAGCTGATTTTGTTATTGATATTTTAAGCGTCTTTTTTGTCATGATGCTGTTACTTAGTCGCATTTGATATCGTTTAATTTTGCAATATGAAACTAGACATTTTTTTGTCAAGGCATTTAACTGATGACGTGCTGTTGTATGTAATGCTGTATGGTAAAAAAAGTGTAGCTGTGTAGTGCATTAATGTTCTCGGATTTCATACTTTGAAAAGATCTATAAAAATCTTAATTTTCCACCATCTCGTATTCTTCTTTTCATAAAATTTATATCACTTATTTTTTGAAACTCGACGAATTGTTATGTACATATAGCTCTATTTTTTAATATTTCCTGTACATATGTTATATAATGAGTCCGTTGCAGATCACCAGTTGTTGCGCATGAGGCTGTACAGAGTGCGGAAAAGAAACTGAAAGCCAATTTACCACAACCGGCGCAATCTGTGGTATCTTCAACTATAACAACACTACAGCTCAACGAAGTATCAGATAAAGAGAATCATAAGAAAGGGGTTGAATTAAGTAAGTTTTATTTTTTCGTTTATTTCGTTTTATTTCAGTTCATTGCTAATAAATTCACGAAGTCGTGACACATGCCGTTGCATTCTTATTGCACCTACTTTTCAGTGATGAAAGTTTATTTTTAAATTTGCAAATGATTCATAGAAATCGAAACTTACTTCCATTACAACAGTCGTTTTTTCTAGAAGAAGACCAAGGTGATGATGGATGGCGCTTAGTGACAACACGACATAGGCGACGGAAGAGTATTGAACCCGATTCTGTCCCCACTAACAATAAAGAAACGGAACACAGTATTGCAATGACGGTATTTATTTCGAATTTGAAGTTCGGATTCAAATTTGAATGGAAATTCTGTTATTTTCAGCTGATAAAAATTATAATTTAACTGTTGATATTATTATGCATAACGCGCAGGCGTCTTCGAAAAGAACATTTATGAATGTTTATGAGCGTTTGTCAACTGGCATCCTTCGACCTCCGAATTTGTCGACTCGTACGCCATTTCTTTCGGAATCAGGTGGACGAGGCTTAATGTATCCTAGATGTGCTATGGATCTACCGCAAACAAAAGTTAGTTATAAATTTTTACCAAATTCTTCGATCAAAGTTCTGTCAGTCAATGTCATAATTTCTTCTGTCCTACGATATACGTGAAATTCGTTCAAAATTTATTACTAATAGCGAAGTAAAAAGCTGAAAGTCATAGTTTTTGCTCTCTAAATGAATAATAAGGAATATATTGTTTCAGGCGTCTATGGCAAAAGTAGCATATTGTCGGCAGTTACTATGGAAAAAACATCAATTGGATTTAGCAGAAAAGATGGAGCGCAGACGTCGCCAAGATTTGCAGAGCGCTCGCAAAACTGGTTCCGTCCCTGCTCTTTCGGCAATTAATTTCGCTGACCCAGATGCTGTTTCACGTAGTGCTACAGCATTTAAAAATCGGAAGGTATTTCTGTTTTATTTCCGGCTGCTGTTATTCTGAAACCACTCTAACGTCAGTATGAAATAATGGGTAATGAAATTATCGTGTGCTGAACTAGTAGTTTAACGCTTTACTTTTTTTAAATATTAAACCATTATTGTGGATGTCTTCTTTTTTTTAAATCATCATTTCAGAAAGTATTGAAAAAGAATGGTGCTGCTGGAATAGTGAAGGAACGAAGTACACCAGCAAATTTTGAACGCATAGAGGTAGGTGGTGCATTTCTTTTTCGTTGCTGTTTTGTTAATAACATTCATGATCAGTCCTGTCATATTAAATAAATCAGCTATTTTTGTGATTTTTTTAGGAATTACCATCGAAAAATGATGAAGATCGCGAAAATATCCCAGCTGGTTTGGAGGGATCGATTGTCATTCACTCCAGTTCAGATTATTTTACTCACAGCAGGTAGCTGAAGAAAACTAAAGCTTCATATTATATTGAAAAGTTCGTAATATCCGAATAAGAGTTTCATTCAAGATCTGAACCACCATTATCGGAATTGGTGTTGCCTGATGGTATAGACATAGACGATGCATGGAGAGCGATGACAGAAGAAGAGGAATCATTGGTGCAAGAAGAAGAAAGTTTGAAAAAAGAAATCGAAGAGGTATGAAATCGAAGAAATATTGAATTGTGTTCTTATTGGCAATTTTCACTTTTTTACGCAAAACAATTTGTTCCATTTTGCAAACTGTTCAAACTGAATCCAGTGGACTAAAAGTTAGTACAGGAAGAAAGTATTTCTATTGATGAAGAGCTGGAACGACAAGTAGCTGCTGAAGCTGCAGCATTGGAACAATTGGAAACCGAGGTAGTTTTATTTAATTATCTTATTTTGAATTTATCTAGCTATTTTGAATATATTATAATCAGTTTAAGTCTTGCTACATGACAGTTGTAGTGTTAATGAGTCCTTGTGGATTGCTTTGAAATTATGAATAAAACAAAGCTCCCTTGCTATGATCTGTAAAACTTCTAAAAAGATACTGAGCGTAGAAAAAAAAAATTTCATTTTTGTGTAGACAACGTTTTTAGCATAAATGTGAGAAGACTGCTGAGGCAGAATCATGCAATAACAAAAAAACTCCAATGACATGGCAAGATGTCGTCAACAACTGGAAACGTTTGTTTTTATTTACTTCAGTTTCTTTTTGCATTTTTTCTTATTTTCCGTTTGTTAGTTTTTTTTTCTCTGATATTTGCTCAATTCATAGGGGAAATGGAGGAATATGCATCGATAAGTTGGGGCGAAATCGTGGAACAAGAAATCACTCGTTATCGTAAGCCGGGAGAATTTGTTGAAAGGCATGAAAAATTATCTTCACCAAGCAGGAAAAGGTGAATTAATGTTTTTGAAATCATTAATTTCTGGAATATATTTCTTTTTAATTTTCAGTTCTATCTTCTGGATCCTTATAGTTTTGTTTCAAGAAACACTGAAAATACGACAGAACGACACAAGGAACGGCAAAGAAGAGCTGACGAATTACGCCAAATGTTGCAAAAGCAGAAAGCTGAGCGGCTGAAAGAACTGTCCAATAAGGTTGGTATATATTTTGATAAAGTTGATGTGATTTGTTATAGAGTTACAAATGAAATTTTCCTCCATTAAAATTATAGGTGGAAGAAGTGAGACGGAAAAGAGCTGAATTGAGTGAGCGAAAACTTGAGCACTTACAGATGCGAATGGCGAAGGCTGAAGAAAATCGTCAGAAAAATATTGAAGAAAAAGTGAAAAAAGCACGCGACGATGACGTCAAGGTTGGATAATGTTTTAAAGTTTAGAATTTCGTATATTTTTACAATTGAGATGATTGAATGTTACTTGTTTTTTTAAAGATTATAACTTAGAAGATTATAATTATTGTCTTCTAAGTTGTGATATCAGAATTTTTAACTATAAGCAAAAGTTCTAAGGAAGGGATTGGAAAACTTAAGGCTTTTATGAAATTATATCTTTCCTTCTACTTTTTGGATTTGGTTATGTTCATTTTCCAAATGTTTAAAGGGATTCTTTAATTTTAAATGATATTAAAATATGAAAAGATGAAATGCGTTTTGTAGGTTATGGAGGTGCAGTTCATCAATACAATAGGAGCAGATAATATGCGACATGATGTTATGATTCGTAGCCAGGAATGGGAACAGAGAGTACAGACGATTGCGAACGAACGCGCTAGAAAAAATGAGGAAAAAGCTGCTAAAGAAGCTGCAGCAGAAGAACGGCGAAAAATCGCAGCAAATGTAATATTTTTACAAATGTAATCAATTTTTTAAAATTCACTTTAGGCGATAAAAAGATTGAATGCAGAATAGAAAATCATCGAATGCATGCGTAATTTCAATCGTTTAGCAAAGAAGACAAAAAATGCGCGAAAAATTCGAGAAGCATGAGCTGTTCGAAGCGCAACGTAACGAACAGGAAAGGGAGAGAAGTGAAGCCGTTCGGGAAAGGAATAAGTAATGTTTCTTACAGAGAAATGTTTAAGTGTTGCCTAGATTGGATTTTTACTTATATTTTTTAAATCACTAATTCATAACACCAGGAATTCTTATCATTGCTTTAGGCAGTTGAATGAGCGAGTCGCGGAAAAGAAAGCAACGGATGCTGTTGAAAGTGCAAAGTTAATGAAGAAGATCCAAAAAAAGATTAATACTTTTTTATTTTAAATAATTGACATATCCTGGATTTTAATACATTCTCATATGTATGTATAATTTAACTACAGAATAGAGACGAAATTGGATGAAATGGATAACAGAAAAATTTGTGATCTTCATTTTTCAGCAGGAAGAAACACGTCGTCGTTATGAAAATACTCTGACACAAGTGAAACATCGTGCTGTTGAACTAAGTAGTCCAAGACCGACGGAGTCAGTAACTTCTTTGGCTGACTTTACTCAGATACCTTCAGAAACTCTGTATGTTTCAATGCTCGAAGGTGTGAGTGGTGGTGGGAGCTCGAAAAAATGCAAACTTTGCGACACTCCGGTTAGTTTTTTCTGTTTTTCGAAGAATACTTTGATATTTAGTGAAAATTTGAACAGAGGCAGATATATGAAATGGATTTAGCTGTGTCCTTCCAATGTTCAGAAGGATAAAAGTTGCTATGTCTTCCTGCTCTCCATAGATTTCCAAATAGAAAGTGCTTTCTTAGTTTGTTTCTAAAGTTTGTGGTATTTCAGTCCTTATTGATTTCTCTATTTAAATTTACACTATAGTGAATAAGCTGAACTCGCTTATACTCAGTATTTCAGCTTGACAGTGACTTTTTCATCATATCACATTTTCTAAGCACTTCTCACCTATCGAAGGCAAACATTAACATCAAAGAGCTAAATTATGATTGTTTGGTATGCAAATTTCTTAAATTTCTTTATAGTGTGATCTGTAAAAGATTAGTTCTGCCTCGTAAAAAAAAAAAAAAAAAAAATTTTCGAACTCAAGACTTGTAAATTTGAAGCTAATTGAGCTTCAGTTATTTGACCATCTTCTAGAAAACACAAATTGATCAGAATGCTGAAGATGTTTGTGTCGAGGCAACCAGACAGCTTTCTTTAGGAGGCGAAAGTGAACTTTCGAAACAAAGTACAAGTACTAAGAAACGTCGGACCCGTCTTCGACAGAAGATCCAGACAAGGTAGGTAAAAAGATAATTTATAATTAGCTCAATTTTTTTTTTTTCAAGCTAAACTTCGAATGATATTTTTACATCTAATTTGCAGGGCTAAAGAGTACGATAAGATAATTGGACAGAGTGATTTATCTGATGCTTACCGAACTTCTTCCGGAAAGACGAGGTATTCTAATTAAATGAGGTGTTTATTACAGTTTCTAATAAGTTAATTAAACCAAACTGTATATATTTCCGGTAAAAAATAGAATTTTAATTGTTATAGTATTGATCGGCCTCTTCGAGATATCGCAAAAGTGTTAAAAGCAACTTTGGGGGAGGATGCAATTAAAGATCGCTGCAGTGGATTGGTGAAGGAGTCATTTCAAAATAAAGTTTATCCAAGCACTGATTTGCATATCCTTGAGAGGTCATTGTCCGAAATTCTACGAGCATTGCGAGCATCCGATACCGTATGTTTCTTAATTTTTTTCTGGGCTCAAAAAGAAATTAAGTTTTTCTTGGTTTGATCTAACTAAATTAAATTTCTTTTTAACTTTTTTATATTCTGACTTCTCTAATTTCAGCTGCAAAAACGTGAAATGCTTTTGAAAGCAGTAGTTCAGAATGATTTTATAGATATTTTGACGGCATTGATATCTTGTGCAACTAATGGTGACACAATTATACCTTCCAGGTTGTAATTTACAATCATTTGACTCAAAGTTTTGCTTTTACTATCGTTAAATGAAGTGCGTAGTGTATTGATTCAGAGAAACAGTGTTTTAATGGAGTGAGTAAATGTTTTTTTTCCTAAATCTCTATTAGCTTATTCGTTCACTGCATTACTTTTTGAGAGGATGCATGATGTTGTAGCTTGTCATTTTTCTTTTTGCTGAATTTTGGGATAGTTTTACAGCATTGTTGTGTTTCATAGGTTGAAAGTCCTGTAGATTCGTGTCGTTATTGTTTTTATTGTGTTTGTAACTTACAGAACATATTGTAAAGCTTTGTCCACCTTTGGAGAGCTTGTTACCATCGATAAATTTATTGCTTCAAAGTTCTTTTTCTCCAACCGCGTCTTTGCACTGTTAGATGCATATTGCATCAAGTCTAAAGTAGGTTGTTTATAAATTATTGTTTTTCTTAATCGTATTGGTGGCTATAATTATGCTTTATATGCATTAGAAATTTGCTTTCAACCATTGCATTAATGCTATATATCATCAAAGTAATGCTCTTGTAATTTTTAAGCTCGACCTCAGAGTCACTATCTAATGTTTTTGAGAAAATGAGTTAATTATAAGATTTCTTATTCAGTACTTACATAATTTTTGTTTTGCAGTCAATGGTTTGGCGATTTCTAAAAGAGTCGCACATGCCGATTAACGATGGATCTTACCGACTTTTAATTGAATGTGTTATGTTGTGTTCGACGTTTTTACGTGTCATGAGCTCTTTGTATACAAAAGTCAAAGGGGAAATTTCAAGTAGTGCAGTCGTATTTGGCATCACAGATGATGATATATACGTAAAACAGCTACTGAGGTTTTGTTTTTATAGCTTTCAACTTTTTGATTTCTATGTTTGTGTAATTTTCATTCCATAAAAATATTTCAATATACTTGGATTTCCACATCATTTGAACAACCTGAAGTTGTTATAATAAACAGGGTCATTATGTTACGTAGCCAAATTTAGAGTTTCTTCAGCTACACCAAACATCAGTTTACTTCATTGTTTTTAAGTTTTTATATCCAAAAAAAAAAAAAAAAAACAGCTTGTGCACTAACTAATGCTTTAATTTTGTAGCTTAATTAATTTGGATGGCTATGGCGATACTCTTTTGTTCCTGATCAAACAGACAGGCGTGATCGATGCATTACCTTGGTCAGTTCAACTTGATTCTAACGCAGTTGCGATACCTATCATGGTTTACACTGATATGATTTTGGAAGTTGGTGAAATACTTTATCTGCTAGGATGTAAAAAAAGGTTTGTTGGTTAACGTTTTTCCGGAAACTTGATTTATTACTCCTTTTTTGGAATGTGTTTTAGTATTTCGCGCTATTTGGATTTGCCTAATGACTTTATTTGGTTAGAAAACTTTTCAAAAATGGAAATATTTACCTCGAAAAAATGGAAGTATTTACGAATTTCCATCTTATATTGCATTTAGAAGGATTCCTTATGTATATATTCATTCAATGCATTTTATGATTATATGATGTAGTGTCTTTAAAATCACTACTTACGACCGCCGAATAAAAAAGAAAAAAACTTGTAACTGAATCGACTGTACCTTAGATATGCAAGTTAAAAATGTTTCCTTTTGATTATATTCGTTTTGAAAGAAGTTCCGTTTGAAGTTCTAAGATCAAAACCAGTTTAAGATATTCTTTTATTTTCAGTTCATTGAATTTCCAATGTTTTAAAGAGTTGCAAATGTTTGTAATTTTTCTAGCACTTTAGACTGACCAATTTAGGTCTTTAGTTGTCTTGATGGACTAGAGCTGACCAATTTGTTATTCCCTATCATTGCAACCATTGCAGCGTTGATACGAATGATATTCCCAACTACTGCAACGTTTATAAGTTCATAAGTTTCTCTTTCAGTCTACAGTAAACTCAGATGTTTCTTCTGACTAGACCTTATCACTTACTATGTTTTAGAAGGAATGAAGCAGAAGGAATACTGTCTGAAAAATCGTCACTAATGACGTAAGTTTGCTGAAAGTACTTTGAAGTTCTGTAATGAGCTAGCGATTAATAAAATTCTGCCAGAAATTTCTGCTATTTTATTTTGCAGTATTTTGATTCCCGCGGCAATTCAGCAGTTCGCAGTTCGAATTTATTCGATAATATCGTCAAACTGCAATTCATCAGCTACAACAGCCAGAGTATCTGTTATATCGATAGGAAATCATCGTGAAGAAATTGACGTTACTCAATTGCTAACAACATGTCTATTCCAACTCTGGTTTTTTCTTTTAAAAAAAGAACCGTATGAAGCGATCGTATGTATTTTGTTAATTTTTGGTACTAAAATATTTTGCACTTTTTATAGCGCAGTAGCTTTATTACTCCTTACTTAGATTGCAGATGAAACTTTGTAAATTTTTGTTGCGTAAGGATTTTGAACGCTTTTTAAAGTGGTTTTGTTCGCTAAATCTTGTTAGTCATAATCCATAATAGAAATGACAAAAAATATCATTTTTCCTTGTTTTCTGTGAATTTATTTCTTCTCTGCAGAAATGTCTCGAGGACAGTGAGCTTTGTTTACGATTAATGCACATTACTATGACAATGGTGGCTCAAACTGAGAAAGTTATTTTTGCAAATACGGATTCGTCAAAATCGAAAGCTACGGATCAGCGTATTAAAAATTTTCTTCATTTTCTCATTGAAGTTATTGGTTATTTTGCCACTGCTAGTGAACGTGCTAAAGTGAGTTTTCCCAGACTGCTTGATCCAAATATTTGAACCAGCCGTGGAAATTTGAACGCAGTTCAATCAAAAAGGGTATCATGCACCCTAGAGATTTGTTTAAAAAATCATTCATAGTCATAGTATCGAGGGCATGTTTATTTCTACACTGTTTTGTTGGATGCATTTGAAACAAAAACATTTTGATGATTTCTTGGTTTGGAATAAAATTCGTCATGAAACATGTATTTGTTTAGTGTTATGAAGTCAGTAGTCTACATTAAGTTTCCAGATTTGCAAGAATGCCTGATAAAAATGAGAATCGGTTGCGTCCGAAATCCATCTATGTTTTGCAGATGTTTTGCGTATTTGGCTGGCAGCGTTCATTATTAATGCAGCTTGCTTCTCTACCATTGGGATATTTTTCAAATCGTGAACTAATGGCAATACTAATACCAACTCTTATTGCTATATGCTATCAAAATCCCATGGCGATCGATTTAATCAAACCATCACTCAGTGCAGAAACTTTTGCGGTATATCTCGAAGTTAGTTTTCGGTTTCGAATAGCAAAGTACTACATTTTTGAACGAATTCGTCAGGTTATTTCTGAATAATTTCAAAGCTGTAGGTCAACATACTTCAATTTCAGTGAGACTAATACGTGTGCCATTTACCGTGAATATAAGAATGGAATTAGTCGTTTCTTCCAGAATAACGGATGAATTTAAATTCATTAGAGAAACTGATAAATTTCTCATTATGCACTATTAAAGACAATTAAATTTCAGGCTGCTCAGGATGAGCAATTTCCTGAACCAGCACGGTTTCCAAGAAAGTTTTGGTCGGATGCAATAGAGTATTTTAGAAGTTGTTAAACGTTGTAGCAAAAATTTTATAAAAGCGTATCGGGTACTGAAAATTGAATTGCTGCAAATTGTCAGGTGAAAAAATTGATGCATGTAAAGTTTTAGCATATAATATGTTTTTAACTAATTTGTTTACTGAATATTGTGCACTTGCTACTTTCCTTCGGCTCTGTATTGAACCCAACTTATTTAATGTTGTGTTATATTGGCTTAGTCATTTTCTTCAATCAATCTACTCAATTTTTGATTTAAGAACAAAAAAAAGAAAAAAGAAATGAATGTTTTTCATGTTTGGTTGTCGTACAGTATTACTGTAATCCAATCAATAATGAGATTAATGTTACATAATCTTTTATTATTATTATTTTTTTTATCTTAAAATGATCATGTTTTCGTGTATAGTCGCATAGGTTATAAGGAAGGTCATTTGATTTTTTTGAAACATTGATGGTAACTAATTTACATTCAGATATGGATTATGAACAAGAGGCAGCATGAATGGTATCGTCATTTATGATTTTATTGGGACTTGGGGTTTGGTTCGATATTAGATTTAAAAAAATTGGAAATCGATGTATTCGTGAAAATCACATTTCTAACTAAAAAATGGGTCATGAAAACTATGCGAAATTTCTGTAAATTAAAATCTTTGCGAACTTGACAAATAAAAAATTTTTTGGATTGGTGCTAGAATTTTGATACTTGAAAGTGTTTTCTTCTGCACTTGCATTTGCGATCTGAATATGGATGTCTTATGTCGGTTTTGTTTTTAAATGAGTTTAAGACAAACTATTCCTTCTATCTTGCATTTCGGGTAGACGACAACGAGTTTATTATTGGTTTATTATGATAACTTGCAGATTGTTACATGTGTGAGGAGAAATTTTTGGATATCACTGATCAGAGGGCGAAGGAGCTGGATATTGAGTGGTTCGAGTCGTTTCGCCGATGTACTGTGTTGAGTGCTTTTGGTTCATATATGGATCGTTTCGAAGTGAAACAGCTACGTTCATTCATGCGGTCAATATTTGAAACTATATTAAAAAATTATAAAGACGATGCAGACTTCGAAATAAGTGCTGAGGAAAAGAAACGGAGCAAGTTGCTGATGCAGTGCCTTGTAAATGCTGGAAATTGTTCGGAAAAGTAAATATATTTTATTGGTATTCGGAGTAACGGTTTACACTGTTTAATCGAAAAGGTAGCGTAGTAGACAGGATTTGAAGTTTGACATCAAATCACATTCTGCAAAATTAGGATGAACATGAAGCCTTTTGCACATTGTGTCGCTATCGTAAAATGCATACTTTTTTCTCATTCTTTGATGTTAGGAAAGCTGAATTGTTAGTCGTTTAATGACTGCTTCTCTGGTCTTGGCTCAAAAATGCAGCAGATTTAGTTTTTTTTTTCAAGCGAAACTTTATAATTCTAGTTACATTTGTTTTATTTGATCAGCAACTATTAAAATGGTAAAAATTACTAGACGTCAAAGATGCATCGTTAATCGAACTTGCTCAACAAAGAAAATTCTTCAACGAATATATTTTTTTCTGAATAATCCTAACATAATTTAATTCAGTCTTCGTTCGTGTGCTGATGAGTATTCAGAAGACTGTCTCCGAAGATTACTAAAATTGGATTGGTTACAAATTGAAACGTTTGCTGCCATGATTAATTTTTCAAGACCTGAAAATGGCGGTAATAATTTATCACAATTACTCCATACACTCAGGCGTCATTCTATATTGAAATTATAATCATTTTAAAATCAAAAACTGTTTTTAATATTTATGGTGTTTCTTCGCATTAGGCTCATTAAATCAAAAGTCTAAGAAATTAGTTGAAGGACTACATGTGCTTTCTGTTATGTCATTCCTGTGCTTGTTGCAAAATTATCGAGTACATTGTATGTGGTTGCAGTTAATTTTCAAGGATTTTAAATCCGTTATAATTTAATAAACTTTTATGCAGAGATGTACTACCAGCTCGCATTTGAATGTAGTATCTTATGGAACCAAGTTTGCAGTGACATAAAAAGGTATGTGTGTTAAAGAAAAAGGTTTGAGGAGTTTACGGTAAAGCTCAAAATTCTAATTTCATGATTTAATTTCTGCATATTACTGTATGTTACATGATTTTTTAGATTAGAGAACAACGAAATGGCGTCAGAGAATGGTAGTGAATCTCAAAATTGTGATGCCCTGGCAAAAGCTTATGATAAAAGGTTGATCATTGTGATTTGACTCGCATTGGTGGGAGTTTAATGTATAACACAGTTTAATTATATTATAGGGATGTTCCGTGTATAATTTATTGACTGGAAATAGAGTTTCTAAAAATTTGATAGATTTGTAGAACAAGTTATGAAATTCATCGTAGAACAGTTGTGTTTTGTCATCTTACAATTGTTAGATTTATAAATGCAGATCCTGGTTATTAGCAGTATTTGCCAAGTATTTGGAATTTAATGATAACTTTCTCACTGTGTGTGGTGAAATCATTGAACCATCTTCTGCTGATACATTTATTGACATTGTCGATACTGTGATAGAATTTGGTAAGAACGGTTGTAATGTCAAGGTTATTTTTTGTCCTTATTTCTTTTATATTCTATCCATTATTTATTTGCACCGCAAATTTTTACATTTTTATACGGTAATTTTGAAGACCCTTCCAACCAAAATGAAATCATTAGGCGTGTCTTTTATACTCTGCAGTTTTAATAATGTGGTCATATTTGCAGATCTTATTGATATTCAAATACGCATACTTTATACTTTTATTTTAGCTTGCTGCTGGAAATGTAAGATATGTATTAATATTCTTGGAGAAGGCACTAAGGAAATTTGGCACGTTTGAAAAAGATAGTAAAATGGAAGAATGCAAAGGAATGAACAACTTTAATAGCATCTTCCGCATTCATGTTTTGCTGGAAATGATTTTGGAATTGGTTTCAGTGAAAGAATATCAGTCAATATTTAAAACAGATTTAACAACTGCGAAATTAATTCTTCATATAATTGAGGGGGTTTGTTAATCATCTCTAAATTGATTTTATGTGTGGTTTTAATTTTATTGAAGTAATTACTTTCATGGATTAAGAATGCATGAGTTTGGATCAAGCAAGGAATGAAAGATCAGAATTTCGGAAAGATGAAAGTTTTAAGAAAATCTCTGGCGGGCTTTCAGTAAGAACGAAAATTGAGTTTCAGTTCTTCCTAGTAAAAGCATCACTGTTGGTCATGCGCTAAATCGTCTAACGATTTTGGATTACACGAAAAAAGGAAATAACGCATTTATTAAGTTAATTACTTAAGTATTTTAAGTTTTTCAGATACTGCACTATGATTTTATCAAATACCAAAGTGAAACATGCAGTTCGAAATCCCAAGAAAAATTCAGCGATCGACCTGGAATTAAGTTGTTACCAAGAAGTGCAGCTAATATAGGCTGTGTCTATAATTTAGCTATAGCTTTAAGGTTATTCTTCTTTACTCTTAATCTACTAAATATCGTGATGATCGTTTCGACTGAACATTAATCACACTAGTATGAAATTAATCTTTGTTATAGTTCCTACGGTATCACTGGTTGGCATTGTATATGTAGATTGTCCTTTTTTTTTTCATAAGAAATACTTTAAAATTACGAAAGATGTTATAATTCAGCACATTTGGTAATGTAAAGCTGATTGAAACCATGAAATTGTCGTGCCTGGAATTAATTGGCATTCTATGTCACGAAAATGATATGATACGTGAATACTTTGGAGCAAATGATAGCATCTCATTGCTGTTAAATTGTATGTGCATACGCGATGACCATAATCCGACTGGGGTTTGTGATTGTTGGGTGTTTATTTTTTTTTCCTTGAAATTTTTTTTTCCTGAGTTCTTTGTTTAGGGGAATGGGTTGAACTATTGCCTCCACTTCATATTTTATTACATTTGATTTATTTCTTAACAAAATGAAAACCCACAACAAACTGTAAGAAATGAAATTTGCAAAATATAAGGATAAAAAAGTCATGATTTGTGGTTTCAGAGACTTTATGCAATTTCTGCTCTGCGACATTTGGTTTTAGGTTATTCACCAAATCAGTTACGACTTGCTCAACTTTCAGAGGTAGAACTTCTCTATTTGTGTATGTCTATATTATAGAATGTAAGCTTTTGATTTCGTGTTGTTTTATACAGAAATTTTTGAATTTCTAGCGTTTTTTCCATTACAGGAACCATCAGCAATTATAGAACGAGATGGTTTGTTGAGAGAATTAGGTTTGTGTGCTGTGTATGACCAGGAAACAAAGAAGATTCGACTTAAACCAGTACCACGATAACCAGAAGGAATATTTCTTTTTACAGTGGAACATTGCCTTGATATGAGGTGGAATGTAGAAAGGAAAAGATGATACGGTATCGTTGTTGAGGCAGGATGTTAAGGCTGATCTATTTTGTCGCTGAAATGTTTTGAAATCAATGAAGACTTTAAAATAAAAACATGTGCATGTATAAACTTGGTTATACTAGTTCCGCTTACTTATATTTGGTATTGATAGGAAAGGAATTACTCAACCACTGCTATGCAAGTGCTTTGGAAAAGTGCTGACTTTTGATATAAACATTCTGAAATTTCTTTCAAAGCGATTGTCTGTTTTGAGCATTCAACAGCACATAAAATTTGTGTGTGCTGTACAACATATCTCACATATAACAACTCTGCGGATGGTTGGTTGCTCGATAAGTGCAAGGACAAATCAGATAGGAAGGCTGATTACTTTTTAAACGGAGAAAGAGAGTATTCTGGAAAGTATTCGAGATTCTAGAATGGGGATTCTGCATAAGTTTGTTGTAGATTTGATTAACTAGATCCTTCCACCAGCAAAGGCTGAAATTTAACCTTCGATTCCGTTTATTAGTGATTTTGCGTCAGATTTGTATGTGGAGGCGTGGTCTTACTATATGCTTAATATTATACGAAGACTTTGGGCATAGAATATTTAGCAAATTTAGCGGAATAGCAAATTGACAAGAATATCAATAAATTTCGTTGTGTTGTTGAGTACTTTATAATTCATTTCAGTAGTTAGTTTCAAGTTATTGATTCCTTCTCACTATCAACCCAATATGTTATTTTCGTTATGAGGGAAGCGAGACTGATAAAAATGAGTAGGGTGGACAGGAGCTGAGGTTGTGGAATGTTATGTTGTACACATCTATACTAACTATTAAACAGTAATTGGGAAGATGACACTCACATTATATTTAAACAAATGTTAGCTTATAATTCTAAAGTTGCAACATTCATCGTTCATTTCTCTGTTGGAACGATATAAGACTGAATACTATCGTAACAACTAGTCTAAGTTAAGAAATCATTATAGAACGAAGTAGTTCATCTCCCTCTCTCTCTCCGTCTCTCTAAATTTTAGATCATATATTGATTTTGATGTTGTTGCTACGGCGCTGTTTGACATTGCTTATACGACGTACGATGCTTTATAAGGAAGGCTAATGGTAGGTAATATTTTAACTGCAGAAATCCATCATTCATACACATCAAATCAGTGCAAACTGTTTTTATATATTTCGCAGTCAATTGCTTCTTTTCTCTTTATCGTCTCATCGCGGTATGCAGTGTACATGAAATTGCATTCCCTTTACTTTATTGACAAAACAACTTGAATTAAATATGTCTAATAGGAAGGATAACATATGATTAAATACTGTAAGTAATGCTTGTGTTCAAGTAGTGATCAAATGTTGGTCATAAAATCTAAACATGCTTATAGATTGAAAAGTGAGTAGATTCCTTTTCTGATAGGTATCTTTGAGGGTCGGCCACTGATCACTTGTGAAAATTCAATCATATAAATAAATCTATGAATGAATTTTGTGAAAGATAAGACCGTCAGAGAATGGAAGTTTTAGCAGAGAAGGAAAACATTTAGAAAGCAATTCATGTAAGAGAAATACAGGTAAATAAAATAGAACAAATGTCATTCTCATTGAATGTAGTCATTTCAGGACGTTGTCATAAGGCACCTCTACAGTTTGACAATACAAGCTGTAATGAGGAGCAGAGTATTAGTAGAGGACATTAGGGTGTAAAATAGCATTAAATTTTATATGTAGTAAGTATCCTATGTTAATTAGGCTATATTTTTTTTTTGTTGATAATCTTACATTTTTTGATGGAAATCTTCCTGACAAACCTTTTCATTTTGTGATAATGCCGAAGAAGTGAAACAAATAGTAATATCAAACCTTGAAACAGTACTGGATTTCTCACATCCGTACAAACTTTAAGTGGTGCTTCCTGTCAACATGACATTAAATTACGTGTAAATTAAGCTATGCTGCATACAGGCACACATATCCTTTCACTATTTAATATTAACAGATGTATGTATATGTCGTCGTATGATATTGAGATTTTGAGTAGGTTTCAGATGAAGAATGAGGGAGAATTGCAGTATTTCTTGGCACATTATCCTTTTCAGTATAGGTTCATTTGCTTTATTCTGCACATTATTTTGTTGAGATGTGCAGCTGACTGATAAATATTTGTACTTTCTTCTATTTGCCATTTCTGCTAATCAGATGATGTGTTTCGAAATAGTGAAGAGTGAACCACAAAGAAATGCCGATTTATTCGTGCCATCCACAATGTTATCTTGTGAAAGTTTAACGTGAAGTGTCAGTAATGTGAAGTTCGAGAAGATCTTTTCAATCAATTAATTATGCTTCAGGTGGATTCGTCTTGCTGGAGAGAAAAGAAGAGATAGGAGAGGAAAGGTGGGTTAGTTTTGTGCCATCATAAGCCATTCCAATTCGCCTCCATTCATTTCGTGTTCAAACGACCAGTACATTTTATTATCGTTTCGGAAGAGTGGGTCAACTCGTTTGAAAGAAAGAAGTTTGTCATTACGTACCCTCAGGGGGGTACCCTTCTTTCCAACTGTTCTCTTCATCTTAATCTTGTAAAATACGGAAAATGCCGTTTATCGGGAAGGACTGGCGAGCACCCGGTGAAACTTGGGTATGGTGCTCCAATACCGATGGATGGGAACAAGTGAAACTACGACCAATTCAGGTAATTGTTAATGAATTCACCTTTGGTCCAAATTTTCAGATAGAAAGAAGAGAATAGGACTGTCGTTTTTACTGAGAAAAAGTGATTCATAAATAAACTTTATGAAGTTACTGTATTCTTAATAGTGCGATCCCAGCATCACACTTTACAAATGTAATTGAAAAAATTTCTAGAAAGATAATTTATTTTAGGTCGAATAAGTACCATACTCTTAAAATGATTGATTTTTTCATTTGAAAGAAGCAATCACTTTTTGCATGATTTCTTTTACTGATAAACATGTCAGTCTCTATGTTATGTAGCGTTAAGTGCATACCGGGCGGTATCAATAAATCATCGCACTTTAACAAACATCAGCGAAAAATTTGAAGTTATATCGAGACCCAGTTAGATAATGAGAAACTTTAGGAAATATAAGTACAGGATATTTTTTATCGATTAGTCGATATAACTTCCAAATATCAATGGCATCCTTTTAAAAATATTTCAAACAGAAGATGATGAATAGTTCATGATCCTTGTTTTTGGATATTCATCCCAACAACTTTGTTTTTACTCCAATTCTCTTTAAGGAAGGAATCCTATCTTAAAGTAAAATTCTTTTTCATTTTCATTCTTCAGCAAATATATATTGAGAGAGAAAAAATTCCGTACAATGATGTCTTTCCGACAAGCACTACTGTAACGAAACTTCACGGAAAGGTGAATTCCACAAAGCTGAGAGGTTCTATCTCTATGAAGTCAAACTTGCTTTTATTGTCTTTCTAATAAAAAACAACTTAATGCATGATGAATTTCTAAATTGTAGCAGGTAGAAGAAGCAGTTGATACAACGCGGTCACCAGTTTTTAGTTCACTAGTGAAAAATATTTCTTCGATGTCGCTATCAAGTAACGATGAAAATTGTCAGCGATCGGATACTGATGATTCCGGTAACTTCTTGCTATTCTTTACTTCTTCAGCTAAGTTGATTTGAACTATTCATTTTAATGGATGAGTGCTGAATAAGCTAAGTCAATGCCATCATATTAAATGTATTTTAATGAGAGAATGATCACGATAAAAATTAAAATAATCTGATGTTGGCGTCTGATAGTTAACTATTGTTAGTTTTCTTGTTAATGAAAAAAAAAAAATTAATCAAAAAGAAATTTCCAGTTTCAGAAGGTGATGATTGGATTCCACACTGTTTCGTCAAAACTGGAAAATCCAAGGAAGTTAGCACTACTGAATTTTTTAAATGTTTCTGTTGTAACTTACTGGATGCTACATTTTGAAAGACCAGTTTCTTTTGTAGTCAAATTACTGATTTTATTTCACATACGAAATGTTCAAAAAGCTTTCTGAGCACTCTCAATAATTCGCAATCTAATGATTGAATTTTTTAGATTTTCTTTATTTTAAAATTATTTTAAAAACATGTACAATTATGAAAAAGCGGTGCTTACTTGAATTTTTTGAATAGTTTGTTTAGCAAAACTATACAGAGTTACAAAATATCGTGAAGTGAGAAATAATTTGGAATTCAACGGAGAACCTTTGGTATGTTTACTTGTTGAGATTTGTTTGCAACAATTCACCTTATTCAGTTTGTTGGATGTACAAGTATGAGTGAGGCATTTCATCGATTGGACTTGGCACGAGCTGTGAGCGATGTCCGGAGATTCAATTATATCTGTAAAGTAAGTTTTAAATATTGAAGGTTTAAAGGACTTTTTTTTTTGTTCGTCGAATGGAATGTGTAAATATTAAAAATACATATCTCTCATGCAATTCATTTGCAGGTTGTACAAATCCTCGTTCAGGAGAAGTTGCAAAATCTTAGTGCTACTGCTCGAAAAGCTCTTCTTTCCATTATTAAGGCAATTGTACTTATATGTTAGTTTTATTTTCATTTAAAGAAAGTATCTTATAATCTGAGGTCATCATGTACAAATCTTCTGTTGCAATAATTTGAAAAAGGTCAGAAATAAAAACATGAAAATATCATTGGAATATTAAGATCCTTACGTTTGCTTGAATATTTAGGTGTCGAGAGAGACCTCCACATATCCATAGCACGATCTCTTGTCTGTGATTTTGGTACGGGTCTTGAGGGTCACTTATATGGTTCACCTCAATTAGTTTCGAAGCAGCTAAATATGATTGGCGATTTGTTGGAACTTATTTCCGAACAACGACCACGTACATTAGCGGATAGTGATGAAGAGTCAGTAACATTCATGGATTTACCACGAGAGATTTTGTCAGTCATCTTAAGGTATGTTTTTGTTTTAAGTAGAAATCCTTGGTATAAAGAAATAGTATCACTAATTTTATATAAAGCGGTGGAGTTACTAAAATATCATCGATCAATTCTTCGATTAATTTTTAGCACTCGAAATATTTGGATCACTCATAAAAGTTTATTGTTGCAGTTCGGTCGTTCTTTTCTTTATTGGGGTATAGATTCTTTTAAATCACAGTCATTCAGGAGCAATAGTTATTACAGTTTTTAACAGACTGTTCAAGTTATTTTCTTGTTTCTTATAGTTATCTATTACGTGGTTAAGTCAAGCATTCAAATACAACAGATTAATAGTGAATAGGTCTACAATTTCAATACTTTTCTGAATTCTCACATTGCACACTTCTTCAAGCTATTTCTAAATGTTTACGTTAATTAAGCATGTTTTTTCGTACAGAAAACTTCCCGATCATGTTTCGCTGCTTGAAGTTGCTAAAGCACATGAAGTTTTGGATGCCATTGTCAAAAAAGAAGAACAGCTTTGGGCATCTCTATGCAGTTTTCACTTTACGCAAGAGCAAACTGCGAAAATTAAGAAAGACCCGATTTCCTGGCGTCATGCGTTCTTCGAACTTAAAAAACATTGTGGACTGCGAGAATTTTATGCTGATTTAATTCATCTCTGTTGCCATTGTAAAGCGATATTTTGGAAGGTATTTTTATTACTTTTGGCGTTAATTTTTAAATAAAGTTTTTCTACATTTGTTTACGGTTGTGAAAATGTAATTTTCCTTTTCTTAACTAGGGGATTTCGGATTAGAAATGAAATTTTTTGCTGAGCATAGAATATGTGACGTGATGTGTTTTATTTTAATTTTACTGCATAATCACAATACTGAAATGTAAATCCCGTTGTAAAAACCATGGGTATATCTTCAGGATCATGGACATCCATGTATATCGAAAGATACACCTTCGGTACGTGTTACTCCTCAACAATTTGTAGACATGTTACTACTTCTGTAAAAAAAGCTGGATTGGTTTTTCTAATCGGTGTGAATTTATTTGTGATATACAGCGATGCGATACTATTTGATTTCTTATTATACAATATTTGTATTTACAGTGTGTTCAAAAGTCTGATTACGAGTTAAAAGAAAAGAAGATTTACTGCATAAAAAACAATGCAAATTTCATTTTTAGGGTTTTTCTAAGGTTACCATACGGTTTTTATATGAGGTAATTTTGTCAATTTACACAAATCTGTCGTTGAGAATCGGTTTAAAAACTACATTGTATATTTGTGATTTGTAAGTATTTGTAATTTTCACCACTACATTTGTATAGTTTGTCGATTTTTGGGTATTTTGAATTCTCCATCATAACGAGTTATAAAACTTTTCATGAGCAATTCATGTCCAGCAAATTTTCTCAAGATTCTGAAATTGGTAAAAAAGGTAAGCACGTCATTTTGAAAAAGTTTTTTATAAATTGTTATGGGAATTTCCTTTCTTTTAATAGAAATATTAGTTTGTAATTCAAACACCTGTGTGTATCTTCAATATTAAAAAATGATATTTGTGTGAAAAGGAAGGAAAATCTTTATAAGAAGAATTCATGACCATCTTTCAGACACAGTTCCGTATCCCAAACACGATAGTCTACGAATCTAATGTTTAACAGTAATAAACAATGGGTAAGCAAACCACCTTGTACTTTTGGTGTGAGTGAAGCATACGCAACATATTGATTCTTCCAAACTTTTCTAATTTTTATCTGTGTCGCTGCACTTCATTTGTCGTTATTATTGGAAGATATTCAAACAGAAACAGTTATTGTATCCGTACGAAAGATTCGTTTATGGTCGTTTTTGCCATTCATTCAGATTGAAGATAAACATAGGTGCTTGAACTATTTGATAGATAGAATGGAAGGGTCAAAGACCAAATTACTGACTGCTAATAAGTTTATGATTAGATTCGAAGAAATGACTTGAAATTCCTTTGAACTGAATGTATGGATGAGACGTGGAACTGATAGTCTTAAGCATGGCTTATGCTTATTCTAGCATACTGTTACACATGAGTTCAACTACTCTCAATACTTTAGAAGTTTGACGGACGAGTCAGACAGAAGTTTATGTCAATCATTATATTTAGAAAATGAAACTGAATTAGAGTCAGTTTATGAGATTAATCATATTTCATTATGCTTTAATGTAAAGAAAACCTCACATAACTTATGATAGCCTTATGACCCATGACCTCATGATTCATGGCATATCTAAATGATTTAGACAAGAATGATATATCCGTTGATGCGTATGGATCACGCAAGACGCAGGAAATATGCCTTGGTAGCATGCTTCTTGCACGCTATCTCTGCTTTCCTCATTTTTGTCAGTGAAACCTACCATTTCTTGGTACTGCCAATACTGGCGTACGTGTTTCCTTACGTTATTTCTTGTTTGGTACTAATAACTTACGTTTTTCATGTTTCCTTTCGGTTCCAGAAAGAAGGCACAGCTTTCTTGATAAAACTTTTTGCTGACACGTCATCAAATGTGCGTTTGACTTGACTACAAGGAATTGGCGTGTAATTTTTAACATTTTACGTGATCGGCATGATTTGAAAACATATCCGAAATGAAAGATTGCATTTGTTTTCATATTATCAAAAAACTTTGAAGTTATAGACAAAGTGTAACACAATTCGTTATCCACCATAAATTGGCTAGTTATTTGGTAGGCCTAATACCTTTCGTGACTGCCGTACTGCAACTGTTTATGTTGGCAGTTCATGTTTACTCGATAATTGCTTTTGCCGAACAACGAGAAGCTTATTCGAGATGGACTTCGCAGCATCTTAAGGTTAATCTGTTTTATTCTGCTGAGTATTTTTTTTTTCCTTTTCATCAAAGTTTCATTATCCTTTTGAATTCAATGACAAAATCTCTTCTTATGAGGCTCCTTATGAAGTTTCACTGAAGTTATCTGATGAAACAGAATCAGTGCAACTTGTAAAAGATCATGGAAATTAACAGAAAATGCTGAAATGTTAATTAGAACTTTTATATTTCAGCTGTTAATATCGGTTCTAATGATCTCACTCATTTTCTCCTTATTCATCACTGTTGTCACCATCATTTATTATCGAAAGTTCGATACTTTCTTAAAAATTGGGATAGCTAAGGTGAAGCAAGTTTTTCAGCAATATTGTAGGGAATTATTATTTTCAATCCTTCTTGAAAATAAGCCTGGGATTAAAGATTGACTTTGAATTTTTTTTTTTTGAGTAATTTAAGAGGAATATCATTCATCAACAAAGTTATTCTATTTTTAGCGTATGATTCGTTTTAGTACAAAAACAACAGATCGTCATGAAATGAATTGGTTGCAAGGGTTTTTCGAATGTTGTGGTGTTTTTGGTTATGAAGACTGGTTACCTCTAACAGCCAACAATAATTTATTAGAATCGTAAGTTGGATTTGGTTCTTTTAACGCTTTATGCTTTCATGGAGAGACGTTAACATGAAGCAATTTGTACTGCTCATTTCTAAATTGTTTTCTACATTTACATACTTTATTATTTAGTATTCAGTTCAAATTTTCGCTGATTGTCTTCAATAATATAATTCAAATTTCTTTCAGGAAAATCTTCATCCCAACTTTTTCTTACATCTAACATTACAAAACTATTTTTTCAAATACTTATTTCGACAGCTTATTGAATTCTAACAGTAGTCAAATATTCAATCAGTCTATATTTGAACATTTAGCAGAAATACATGCCTATAAACATACTTTTCTACAGCCATTGCCATATATTCCCATCAAATTGTACCCAAATCTAATTTTCATTTCTTTCTAGAATTACGAATTTTAAAATTAATCAACTGCAAATTTCAGCCAACTGATAACCGATGGGAATCAGTGGTCTCATTGCACGAGGAATGGCTGCTATTTGCCACATTCATGTTGTGTAAGGAGTCAGTTGAAGTGTTCTCCACTAATTTTGCTACAAAATTATACAAAAAATGAAGAAGTCGGTAAACACACAGCCAAAGAATGGTTTTATTTTACAGGTAAGATTTTATCAACTGCTCATATTACAACTTATAATATTTTAAGTTCTCATTTGCTGTGATTACATAATGTTTACACTACTGATAGTCATCAGAAAGTGCAGTTGAATTGTATCATCTCTTATCATATTTCATAGATGAGTAAACGGTAAATTGTTGTAGGCTAATTATTACTAATTCAATTTAACGTCGTTAGTCGTTAGCTCATGTCCAAAAAATCAACAGCTTTAATATGATTTCTAAAACATTTCACTTATTATTGAAGCGTTGAATTATCACCGTTCCTGGCAGTAAATTCGTCAACTTTAAAGAATTTATTATATAAAATTTGATCCTATTTTCATCCATCTTTGTAGAATCGTGGAAAGTTTATTACTTTTCATCCTCTTTCAGTGTCCATGTTTTCAGGTTGTTTCAGTGAAATTAAACGCAGATTGTCCATCGTTCTGCTTGTTGCTTTTTCCGTCTTTAATTTCATTATACAGTGCATTACTTTGTTATATTCACAAATTGTTTCTACAAGTTATGCTATGATTGGTGATTGTGGTGCCGAAGATGCTACTGCCGTACTTCCCGCATGGATTTTGCCATTTCCGCCGCCATTTCCACAAACTATTGTTAAAGTTTGTTATTTTTCATCCTTATGAGACGATCTAACTTTAATATTATATAAGCTACACTTATCTTAATTAAAAAATCTCTCTTCTACTTTATGGACAGATGTAACTATGAATAATGAGGAACATCTTTAAATTAAGAAAAACATAAAAACAAGTATTTAATAGTTTATGAAATATAATGAATGATCACTTATAGTCATTTCTAGTGAAGGCATCTGCATTCTCTTGAAACCTAACTTGTTTTAATGGCTGGAATAAAGATATTTTAAGTAGAAAAAAACTTGGATGTTTGTATATTAGACAATGACTCACGAAATTTCCCTTTATAATTTTTTTTTCAATGATTGAACAATAATTGGTAATGTATTTGTTAGAAGTGTCAAAAATTGGTGAAGCAAGGACGTAATTTTCATGATTTTCAAGAATTGGTAACTTGAAGTGAAGCATCATTGTACATCTTTTTTGAGTTATTTTACTTTTTCATTGTTAAATAAAAATTTAGCATCAAATGTTTAAGTATAATGCTCAACAATATCAAATATTAAAAAAAAAAATTGCATTTTTTTTCTCTCTTTGGAGTTCACTGAAACTACTGAAGTTCTTCTTAACTAAACTCAAATCCTGGCTTTTAGTGCAATGCTAATCAAGAAACTTTTTGAAACTAAACTATGCAATCATTTTCTGATCAACCAATCATTCCATTTCAATTTAGTACAATCATCGGTAGGAAGAGTGAAAATAATTTTCAAAGAGTTAATCATCTCAATAAGAACTAAACTTTTATTTCTTTTCTGTTTACATTAGTCATATATAAGGTTAATTCGGTGTTTTTTTTTTTCATTAAATTCATTGAAAGATATACATATGCCAAAGAAAAATGCGTTTATCTGATCTAATAATGTTTATTTAATGTGGAATTAGATTGAAATTTGAAGAATCATAATGCTTTGTCGAATCAAAGTATGTTAATTAGCTACTGACTAACATATATGTTAATTGGTGACATCTATTACTGTTATAGTGAACTAACTGAACAGAAAACGAAAAGTTAGGTAAAAAAAAAATAATAATAATAACTTGATTCGGAAGCTATAAAAATTATTTTTAGCTTTCTGATTATTTGCTTATGTTTACAACTACTTCCGTAATTATATTAGACCTCACGTCTCCGAGAAAATTTTTTCCAAATGAAAGACTTTTAAGCAGGCTTGTTTCCTACATTTGGCCCATGTCTTTAATTATTTCGCATTTATCAAATCACTTATTTATTCTAATGTGCTAATCTTATTTTTAATATTTCCAGAGACACGATTCATCAATTGGATTACAAAATTTGTACTTCTTTGACTAATCTAATTCATTTTAAGCATCTAGATGGATGGTTTCGGTAGTACGAATAGAAATACGTTTACGTCATTTTCTGGGCCATATTTTTTCTAAACTTTTCAATTTGAAGTAATTCGTTTTGTCGCATTCTTGTTTTACTCATCCAAGGTCTGATAAATTGAAAGAGTATTTCCTTCTCTAACAGTTACAGCACACTTTTTTCTCTTTATCATTAAAGTAATTCTTGTCACATTCTTCTGCCAAAAGTATTTGAAGTTTAATGTAATATTTAATTATTTTCATCTTGTTATATTAATTATGATCAATTTATTATATTTTTGCAGTAACAAGCTTTTCATATGTTTCGAATACAGTTTCAAGACTTCATATCTAAAAAATAGTTAATTATCAGTGGGATCATGTTAGCATTAACTGTAAAGAGTGGACAGTCCCCTAAGGAGGATCGAGGTTGGACGTAAAAAGCGAAGTGATGGGAAATTATGAATGTTTGTGTCAACTTACTATGTTTATTTGGATAAAAAATTTTAGGAAAATGATAGAAAGTGAGTGATGGGATTGTTACAATCCAACGAGAGTCATGTGCTAAGGGCGACAGATAGGATAACGACTTTTTTAGCTATAATAGGAGATCAGTGGACAGCATATACCTTTTGTTTTCAATAATGGACGAGATTTGCAATACCTCTTCAACGATTGTATTGGTAGAACTTTTACATTTCTTGCCTTTTTTTTGAGGTTTAAGAAGAAATAAATGATATTTCTCCACTGACTACTTTTCAGAACAGCGGAGTATGCTTACGAGGGCATTTCAATTAGATGGACAAAAGGATGAGAAATTTGAAATATTTTGTCCTTTATTCATTTCATTGACTTCTTTTTTCTTCAGTTATAATACTTCATTATTTTCATTTGAGGCAATCAATATTACCGCTGTAAATAGTGTTTAAAAACGTGAATCAAAGAATCCAAAAATCTTTTAACTTTCGAAATCACTTTAGTTATTCAGTCGAAGTTTTGCCATTAGTTGAAACTCAGTTGTTTGTCTTAAAACTAAACTGTTTCTTCTTTTCGTTCTTTTCGCAAAATAACTAATAAATAATGTTAGTCGTAAGTTTCAGCATACTAAATTTTATTTTCTGTGCAAATGAAAATTTTCACTAAGAAAAAATCTATTTGATTGTTTTAAACCAAATTTTTTCTTCTTCCTTTGTTGCAGCAGTAATTGATAGTACCGCAAATAAACTAATAAATAACGCTATGGTATATTTGAATTTTGACCAAGAAAAAGAAAAAAGAGAGGAATTAAGGATGGCGGAAGTAATAGATACTTCCATTTGTTCCTTTTTTCTTTTCAGCTATCATTAAAATCTAGGGAGAAAGAAGTAGTAATAGTAGTAGCTAACTGATCCTACAAACTGCTTTCTGCAATAATTTATCTCGGATCCCTACATGACATTGTTTATTTCTCGCATACAACTACTATCTATTATGTAGTCAGCGAAATACCTCGTCCTTCTTGCACAAATCATTAGTGCTTTGTGTAGAAACAATTGTCGAAATTGCAACAAAGGCAAATTTTCCAAGATTAATGATAATCATTTAAGGTAATAAACGATTAGTGCTGTTGTCACAGACATTTTTATTAATCTATAATAATAAGTGCTGACATTTATGAATGTTTGATGCCACTTCTGGAGTGAATGCTCTTCTTCTTCGCGTCTCTTTTATATGAAACTTATGCATACTCATTAATTAATTAAATTACTCACTTACTTCCAACAGTAAAAAAGAATAATACTAAGAGTTTCTTCGATTATCTTCTGACTTTTTCATTGCAAATTTAACTTCCTCTAATTAGTTTTATGGTAATATTTTTAGAAACAAATTTGCATAACTAAATTTATTTCTCCATTCATATTACGAAGTAATTAATTATGACGCTACATATAAATTTTCTCTTTGTTTACTTTTTTACTGATCTCAATATTTGTTGAATTATTTTTATCCTATCTTCCTTCTTAATCATTTAGGACGCTTCCTTCTCAGCCAAGAAAAATTATTTAATTCGCTTTCATATCGCTGTCTAATCACTCTCCCCTCTCAAATTACAGCTATACTTTCGAGATCCTCTTTCACTTCAACATATGGCTATTGAAGTGGACGAATGCTTTTCATCAAGCATTTTTGATGACAGTCTCATCCTCAATTTATCTACACCACAAATTATTTTCTAGACTCACAATAAACAGAAAACGTAATCGAGATGAAAAATCAGAATCGATGTCAATAAATAGATATTCGCAAGAATATCTCCTTGAATTGTTTTTCAGTTTTTTTGGTACTTTGCCTGATTGGCAGATCGATTTTAATTAATCGCTAATATGATGAAATATCACTATGTTTTATGCATTTTTCAGTATTAGTAGCTTTTTCGTTTAGCTGAAAAATGTACAAATTTCTTTTTACGTTGGTCAGCATATTTCCATCAATTTTTCCAACCAAACATTGCTCTTTGCTTATCTTTTTTCTACTCGAACAGTTGCATTTTAACTTTTTTCTTTTATCACTTAGCTTATTTTTCATTTCCTCTTAGAATAATACTATAATAATGATAATGCCATTTTTTCAATTGCAAGGCTTATTCAAACCTGTCTTTGCGATTCTTTTGTTAGTTGCAATTCCTTTTTTAACTTTCAAATGGCAAGTCTGAGAGTGATATTAAGCTTTGTTTAACACTTCAGAAATAAAAAAGCTCCGTCTTTTCGAGTGACTAAATTAGTTCGTCTGTGTTAAAGTTAAGTTGTAATGTGGATCTAAATTAGAGGAGAGGAAAATGGAGATTTGTGGGTAGAAAAAGAGAGAGAGGAAGAGAAAGAGAGAGGGAGAGAAAGAAGTCGGATTATCCTTTAATGATAAAGTAAAACAGGTTTTTGCAGATCTGCACACTTTTCAATTTATCCATCTATCTACTAATTCACTGTATCCCTAAAAAATACCGCAGTTTGACCGAAGAGATCCCATTCGTCTGAATCGTTATTATCTTTGATACCACCAGTCTAACTGAAATGTCCTTCTTCGATGTACTTACAATTTATGGATCAATTTTCGATGTTGATATTATCGGCAAGACTTATTACAACTTTTGCTGTAGAATGCAACTGCGGTGAATCTTTATCAATTCCCTTAAATATTCATTAATGTCATTCTAGGTATATTACTCACTCTGTTTCCCTCACGAAGCAATTTCCGCTTTTTTTTGTAACAATATGTAGGACCATTTTGATGTTTTTTTCACTGCTCTCTTTGATAATAAATACACTTATAACTTTCTTTTTTGATCAAAATTTGTTTCTCTTTTCATCCGATTTCTTTCTCGCAAACAAAACAAAGCTGTTGTATCAATTCCTCCCCCAAACATTTGTCACTCTGTCTCCCATTTGTTGTCATTTTCGGTTCTTCAAACTGGCGTGTGACAAAGTAGCCACTCATCCACTTGCTCCTCTCATTTCATTCCTTTCCTCATTTCTGCATATCATTATGCTTTCATCTACACAGGCGATATTATTTGTGGCAATAAAATTTGACAATTTAACGAAAATTGCATAAAATTCTTCTTTCTAATTTATTATTTCAGCATGAAATCATCATTCGTCATCTTTTGCTGAACATTATTCTCTTCGAAAATTGTAATAACTAATTGTCATTATTTCTGTTTATAAGATAATCGTGTTAAGTTATTGCTGTCATGTTTACTGCATCTCTTTAATCTATTTTAATTTAATTGGCTAATTAGATTACCGCCATTGGTCAGTGATTTAACGTATGTATCGAAATGAATCTGAAACTGTCTTGCAACTATTAAATTCTCTTTATTCTTCTAAAAAATTAGTTTTAATTAATAGGTCATTTTATTATGTGAGATTTTCTCGATATTAGCTCATTACATTTTGAGAGAATTCACTTGGAAGGATCATTTGATTGTTGACTGTAATAATTTCAGCGATAAAATAATTCTTAAATACATTCATCATGATTATGATACTTTCTTTCCCTTAAAAACTTGAAGTATTCAAAAATTGTATACTTGTGA